GAGGGAGGGAGGGAGAAAGGCAGGGATGACAGTTTCCTCATTAAAAATTCTTTGCTATCTGTAGGAACCACTTTATTATTATTATTATTTGATGCTGGGGATTGAACCTAGGGCAGGGCCAGGTGCATCTAAGTTAATGTTCTACCACTGAATTATCCCCCCATTCCTAAAAGGAGCCATTTTAAACCAGTGTTGTTCTCTTTGGACTCAGATATCTGAGTTTAGAAATATAAGTGAATCATGGYGGCAGGCATAAGGGAAGTCACCTGAGTGCTGGGAATTCTTCACCATTTTTCAGCAAGGGTAGAAACCATTATTCCCCTTTTTGTTTTGCATATGAGGAGGTAGTTGTTAATTATCCTTTCCCTTSGGTCTCCTCCTTTTCCTCTGCTTCTGAGCAGATTTAGGAGAGGTAGAAAAAGCAAACGTGATAAGCTTCCAGGGATGACAGAAAGTTTCCATTCCCTACCCTTGTCTCAGACCCTACTTCTGTGTTTTGCTCAGTAATACTTTAATTTTTTAAAAATATTTATTTTGGCTGTAGTTGGACACWATACCTTTATTTTACTTATTTATATGTGGTGCTGAGGATGGAACCCAGGGCCTCACATGTGCTCTACGGCTGAGCCACAACCCAAGCCCATACTTTAAATTTTGAGTAGAACTTCAAGCCTTCGACTTTACCTGTTTAAAAGCAAAAATCTCTAGAAGTGTGACTTCATTAGGCTGTGATTATTAATCATTTACACATAACCAGTTTTTTACATCTTTTCCTGAGAGGGAGGGACAGGAAAAGGAACATGGAAGCAAGAATTTGGGAAAAGGCAGGCAGGGCAGCTGGAAGGGGCAGATTCAGCTATTTTACAGTTTTATCTAGTGTGGTTTTACTTGGTATCGCTGGTGCCTGAGTTGCTCCTTCTCCAACCCCATCTTTTATTTACATGATAGTTTAAACCTACAATAAGAGGGAAAAATAATTTTTTTATAAAATAGATATTTAAGTATAAGGGGAAGAAGCAAAACAACATAAAAAAGTGAGAATCTAAAAATAATAGACAGATCGTCAGTAATAGATAATGAACAATAAAATAGTGTGTCATAAAGATTAAACCAAAATGACATTTTATTATATTGAATTTTTATTTCAACATAGCAAAATAAAATGTCCAGAAATTTTTGTTTTGTATATTTTTAAAAATTCATAAAAACATAAACCTGTCTTTGAGGAAAGCCTTATATAAAAATATTAGAGCTCTTTGGATTAAATAGCATTGATAATAACTATTAGGTACTTCTCAGGCCTTCCCAATTGCTGAGGTAGTTCAGTAAAGAGCAGTCCTCTGTGATGCTTCTCTCTGTGAATTTTAACATAATAAAGCATAAATAAAGTAGAATAAGCCTTATTGTGCTTCCTACTCCCTGTTGGTGATATTACTCAGAAAATAAAAAGGGACTCGGGCATAAATATGAGCAAAGAGAAAGGATTTGTTATTCAGTCTCTCACATCACTAGAGATTACAACTGCATCTTAAACCCAGACTCTGAAAGCATACACCCCTTTTGTTTTGGATTTGATAAATGAAATTCTTCCTTTGTCTTTCAGTAAAAAAAAATCAAAAGACAATATGCTCCTTTCACAAGAGGTCTGTCTCTACTGTGAGACTAGAATAGTTCAAAAAACCAAAGATTCAGAAAATGTTAAAAAATAATCACCACTTTTGCTCTAACTCCACTTTTTTTTATACAGAGTAGGATGTATATTCTATCCAATTAAAAAATAAAGTATACTAGCTTTTATCTTCTGTATTGTCTTATCTTCCCACCTCTTCATCTAATTCACAAGTGGATCTCTTCTCTGGATTCTCTACCCTTCTAACCTCTTTCTGTATCCCTGTTCCTTTAAAAACCTTTGCATCAACCTTTGCATTTGATGAATTTGATACTTCTACTTTACAATATTTGATTACATGAGTTCGTTTACACCATGAGCTCAGCAATAGATTAGTTCTAGAGCAGATCTGCATTTATTCCTGTTCAAGGGAAAGGACAGATTGAAGAAAAGTAGAGGAGACCAGTCAAGGAAGGGAGCTTTGGAGCCAGACTACTTGGCTTTGGATCCTGGCTTTGCCATTTATTAGTTGTGTGACCTTGGCCAAGTCACTTTCATGTTTGGTTCCACAGCTTCTCCATCTGCAAAATGAAGATAATAAAAGATGAAGATATTATAAGGACTAAAAGAGCTAATCATATAAAGTACTTAGAGTTAGGCTCATTATAAGCACTCAATAAAATGTTATTCATTTTTATTGGATAATACAGAAAATGGACTAGTTCAAAAGTGAAGAATTGGTTACATGTAATGAGACCAAGGAGATTATGGCAAGGGACTTATGCACTGAAATGTGCTCTCTTCATTGACGTTTATCATCTAGTGGCCATTCTCAAGGTGTACTTCTGGTTCTGCTTGAGGGTCAAGATTTAAACCATCAAAAGCAACTAGGGTTAAGGCGGGGATTGTGGCTCAGTGGCAAAGCACTTGCCTAGCATGTGTGAGGCACTGGGTTCGTTCCTCAGCACTACATGTAAATAAATAAAAAATGAAACTACATCAACAACTAAAAAACATTTTTTAAAAAAAGCAACTAAGGTTTTCATTTTAGTTCAAAGCACCTGCTGGCCCCACATTCAAAGACCTTTTGGGCAGTGATCCCCTTGAAGCCACACTTGGTACACTGTCACATCCCTATCCCTCAAAACTAATCTAACTCAGTATGAATCATGGAGAAATTTGTTCCTCAAGATGCCCTGGCAGAGGAATGGGGTGGAAGGTGGTGGATAGGTGAATAAGGATCCATGCTGCCCACTGTACAACAAAAGCAATGCAGTTCATTATTTTGGTGTCTCTTCTTCATCTGCCAATCATTCCATTTCTTTTCTCTTTTCCTCTCCACATCCAAGAGGCCTCTCCTTTGCCCTAGACAGATCAGCTCCGGCTCTTTGTTATGTTCCTAAACTAAACAAGAGCCTGGGAATTAGAGCAACTTTCTAATTAGTCTAGCATGCCCCTTAGGGATTTTCTACCCTTCCACATGCAGCTTATCAAGGTATTCACCCAACACAAACTAATTATTTTCTTAGAAAATTTTTACTTACAAATGTTATTCTTTTTTTTTTTTTGCCTACAAGAAAAATTTCTTCTCCTATGCTTTTCAGAAGGCAGTGAGTACTCAACAAGTTTCTATCCGAGAGTTATTTGAGGATCTGACAGTAGTTGTAGGAGAGAAAATAAGGAAAATGGGAAAGAGAGGGAAGAAAAGTGGAATTGGCATAGGTTTAGCATTATAGCTTTCAGAAAGTTTTTATTGCTTGAAGTTTTTGTTTTGAAATTATTTATTTTTTTGGTACCAGGGATTAAACCCAGGGGCACTTAAATCACTAAGCCACATCCCCAGCTCTGTTTTGTTCTATTTTAGAGGACCATTTGGGGGTTTGAACTCAACAGTGCTCTGCCACAGAGATACATTCCCAGCCCTTTTAAAATTTTTCGGAGATAGGGTCTTTCTATATTGCCCAGGCTGGCCTTAAACTTGTGATATCCCTGCCTTAGTCTTTCGAGTAGCTGGAATTATAGGTGTTCACCTCAACACCTGGCTTGCTTGAAGAATTTAAAGAGAAATAGAAAGGAAGGAGAAAAGGGGACTTTATAAAAGGAACTTTATAAAAGTCCATAGGGACTTTATAAAAATACATATTAAATAGGAAACTACAAAAGTGGACTGGTATTAAGATTGTTGACAATTAAGTAGCCTTGACAAAAGAGCCAACAATACTAACATTGCAACATTGAATTTTTTTTGTATTGGGGACTGACTTGAGGACCTCCCGCATACTCATACATACACTCTTCCACTGGCTATACCCCAAGTCCTGGGATCTCTGTTTTTTATTTTTTTAGTACTGGGGATTGAACCCAGGGATGCTTAACCACTGAGTCACATCCCCAGATCTTTTTTTGTATTTTAYTTAGAGACAAGGCCTCCCTGAGTCACTTAGGGCCTCACTAAATTGCTGAGACTGGCTTTAAACTTGCCATCCTCCAGCCTCAGCCTCCCAAGTTGCTGGGATTAGACGTGTGCACCACTGTGCCCAGCTAGAATCTCTTGAAATGTTTCTAGACCTGTTTATTAAGACTGGAACTTTATGAATGTTCTGGCATGCCTTAAAAATTTACTACGTTTTTCACTGTATCTGAAAATTTAAATCAAGAACTGCATAATTGAAATTAGGACTGCAGGGGCTGGGATTGTGGCTCAGTGACTGAGCACTTGCCTYGTACATGTGAGGCCCTGGGTTCAATCTTCAGCAACTCATAAAAATAAAATAAAAATTAAAAATTAAAAAAAAAGAAATTAGGAATTCATATTCTCTAATTACTTAAAGGTTTTGACAGGAAAAAAAAAAAAAAAAAGCATGCCAGAGGTAAGTAAATGGGTGGAGGTAGCTTCATGTTCAAGTCTGGAAAAGTGGTGTGGGGGGTGTGTGTTAGTTGCTGGAATGGCTTCTGAAAGGATTGGCTTTTACCTGCATTTCTAGGTAGGGAGACAGCCCATGAGCTTCCTCAACCAGCAAACTGACGGCTCGGGTTCTGGTTCAGCCATTGCCTTCTGGACTCGGAACAGAGCCTGGGAGACGATGATGCGCAGAGAAGGCTCATGGTCATGTAGCATCTCTCTCAGATCTAAATGGCAAGAGAACCAAGGGTGGACCTGAAAGTCCTTTGAGGTTTCTGGAAAGGAGCTGGGCTCTAAATATAGAACAGCCTCTGTGTCCAGAGGCCAACTTTCTCTAAGACACTGAAAGTTTTTAGGTTGGTGGATGGATTCTGATTTAGAATCAGACCTACAAAACCTACTAGTTCTGAGTTGCTGCATAGTTTACTCCTCTGAAATAATCACATTCTAAGTAGTACACCTAAAGTCAATTCATCTGGACCTTCCAAACCATGTCTAATGTGAACCTCTAAGTTGCTGTGTCCTAAATGTAACCTAAACCATTATTCCCTTCTCTCTTCTCTGTCTGTCTCTCTCCCTTGTGGTGCCAGGGATCAAACCCAGAGACTGGTGTCCTTTTTAAATATTTTCTTAAATTTTTATTTTTATACTTTCTTATTGCAAAAGAAATATAAGTTCATTGTGTAGAAAATATATGTGACAATACATGTAAGCACTAGAAGAAAATAAAAGTTACCCATAATCCTGCCACCTAGAGCTAACCACTATTATTTCAGTATTTATCTTTCTGGTCTTTTTTCTAGGCATTTATTTATATATGTATGTTTTTATTTTTTGTTCAAATGAAACCATATAACTCTGTAATTGATTCTTTTTTAACATTTTTTTTAGTTGTAGATGGACACAATACCTTTATTTTATTTGTTTATTTTATGTGGTGCCAGGATTGAACCCAGTACCTCACGCATGATAGGCAAGCACTCTACCACTGAGCCACAACCCTGGCCCCTATAATTGATTCTTATTTAAAAATATCTCATCATAATTTATCTGAGTCATTTAAAAATTCTTGTGTAATGTTTTTCTTAGCTRTTTATGATTCTACAATGTGGGCATGCTATGAATTCACTTATTCCCAATCTTTTCCAGTCTAAAATGTTTCCTATTTATTATTCTAAATAACACTGAAATGGACATTCCTGTAATTATTATTTAAAAAAATTTTTTAGTTATAGTGTGAAACAATATCTTTATTTACTTATTTTTATGTGATTCTGAAGATCGAACCAAGTGTTCTACCACTGAGCTATAACCTCAGCCCTAATTATTTATTTTCATAAGTTAAAGTCCTAGAAGTAGAATTGATAAATCAAAGTATATGCTTATTTTAAAAGATTTTGATATGTACTGCTAAAATTCCCTTTTAAAAATTTGAACAATTTATGTTCATACAAGCATAGTGTATAATAAATATCAGTGTCCTTTAATACATCAATGTTGAGTATTACTGACAGAAAAGCATATATGGACACCTCAYTTTATTTACAAACTTCTGATTACTAGTTAGCAAATATTTTTTATGTATTGGGCATTTGTGATTCCTCTATGAACTGCTTATTCATTTTGTTTGTTACTTTTGTGAAGGTACAGATTTGTTTCTTTATCATAAGTATTTATCTTTATATTGTTATTTGCCTTTCAGTTTTGTCTGTTTCTTTTTTTTTTTTAAGTTACTTTTAAAATTCTTTATGTAGCCAGATGCAGTGGTGCATACCTGTACTCCCAGAGTCTTGGGAGGCTAAGGCAGGGGGATCAAGTTCAAGGCCAGCCCCTGCAATTTAGGGAAACTCTTGTCTCAAAATAAATAGAAAGGGCTGGGGCTGCAGCTCAGTGGTAGTGAGTGCTTGGGTTCAATCCCCAGTATTACAAACAAACTAACAAAAAATATGTGGACAAATATAATCTTCTATTTTGTGGATCAGTCTATTTTTTAATATTTGTTTTTTAGTTGTAGGTAGACATCATTACCTTTATTTTATTTTTATGTGGTGCCAAGGATCATGCCTCATGTATGCTAGGTGAGAGCTCTATCACTGAGCCACAACCCCAGCCCCTTGATCTTTTATATCTACTTAAAAATAAAAAAGAGAGAGAGTGAGAGGCTTTTCTTACAGTACTAGGGACTGAACCCAAGGGTGATTTACCACTGAGATACCTCCCCAGCCCATTTAATTTTTATTTTAAAATTTCCCAGGGGGGCTGGGGATGTGGCTCAAGCGGTAGCGCGCTTGCCTGGCATGCGTGCGGCCCGGGTTCGATCCTCAGCACCACATACCAACAAAGATGTTGTGTCCGCCGAGAACTAAAATAAATAAATAAATTCTCTCTCTCTCTCTCTCTCTCTCTCTCTCTCTCTTTAAAAAAAATAAATAAATAAAATTTCCCAGGCAGTCTTGAATTTGAGATCCTCCTGCTCAGCCTTCCAAGTCACTGGAATACATGTGTACCACCGTGGGTGTATCCCACTGTGCCCACAGTATCCTTATTAATATCTAATTCTCTATGCAAATGCAAAGTCCTAGCAAGGTGCTGTGGTGCATGCCTGTAATCCCAGCAACTTGGGAGGCTGGGGTAGAGGATAGTAGGTTTGAGGCCAGTCTCAGCAACTTATTGAAACTCTAGGCAACCTAGTAAGACTCTGTCTCAAAATAAAAAACAAAAAGGATTAGGCATGTGGCTCAGTTAAGTGCCCTTGGGTTCAAACCCTGGTACTAAAAAGTAAAAAATATAAAAATAAATAAAAATCTACATCCTCTTTATGGTTTGGAGTTTTTATGTCTTAAGTAGAATTTTAGCCTTCAAATTTGTCATGTTTATGGGCTGGAGATGTGGCTCAAGCTGTAGCGTGCTTGCCTGGCATTCATGTGGCCTGGGTTCGATCCTCAGCACCACATTTAAAAAAAAAAAAAAAAAAAAAAGATGTGTCTGCCGAAAACTAAAAAATAAATAATAAAATTATCTCTCTTTAAAAAAATAAATAATTAAATAAATAAATTTGTCATGTTTATTTCCAAAATGGAAGATTTCACTTTTCTTTTTTTAAAGTTTCTTAAAGAGTTTGCACTTAGGGCTAGGGTTATAACTCAGTGGTAGAACACTTGCATAGCATGTGAGAGGCACTGGGTTCGATCCTTAGCACCACATAAAAATAAATAATAATAAAATAAATAATAATAAAAAAGTATGCATACAATATTTTGCACTTAGATTTGTGTCTACATGTTCAAAAGAATACATAAAGAGCAAACATCAATTTAATTTTTTTTTAATTCAGACATCAACTTTTGAACGAAATAATTGAAACTTAATTTGTCATAAATCAGTTTAAATTGATATTTAAATTGTTGTTGCCTTTTTCTGTTTAAATTTAGCTTTAAAATTACCAATGGTAAATAACATAAGTTTATTTTTAAAAGACTATTATGGGAGGGTGCTGGGGTTGTGGCTCAGTGGTAGAGCACTCGCCTAGCACATGTGAGGCACTGGGTTCGATCTTCAGCATAAAAAGTAAAATAAAAGTATTATGTTCACCTACAATTAAAAATATATATTAAAACAAGGCCCTGGATTCAATCCTAAGCAACACACACACACACACACACACACACACACACACACACACACACGACTATCAGAATACCGCATTTTTTCCTTTGATTTGTTTTGTTTTGTTGAGATTGGGGTCTTGCTATATTGCCAAGGCTGGTCTTAAACTTACAGGCTCGAAGGCATCTCTTGCCTCAGCCTCCTGAATAGTTGGGACGACAGCTGCAAGCCACCATGTCCTGTCAAATAGCCTATTTGGCAGAGAAGCCACTACAAGGGAAGGAGGAATGTGTGAGGTTGTTTCATTAGGCTAAGCCACATGAGATTGCTGATATGAGACTCTTTTTTGACCTACAATTTGATAATTTCATATGATTTATCCTATTATATATATGTATATAACTTTATATACATACTCTAAATATTCTATATAACTAACTTTTGAATGGAAAAGGAACTTTGGTTTCCCAATGTTTTAGATTAGAAATAATTTTCTTTTAAACAGATAGAATTAGCCATGTAGAATCCTATCCCATAGAATAATCTGCATGGTTCTTTTCTTCCTTCTTTCTGATATCTATGAAGAAATAGGAAATCTTAAGAGTGGCATGATTTTCTTAAATAGACTTYAGTCTCTGAGCAGTTTTAAAATATCAATACACACATATTTTATRTATATATAATGAGATCCCTCTTAAGTTGCTGAGGGTCTTACTAAATTGCTGAGGTTGGCCTCAAACTTGTGATCTTTCTGCCTCAACTTTCCAAGTTGCTAGCATCACAGGTGGGTCATCACATTTAGCTACTTATATGTTTTTATTTTAAAAGTAGTGAAATGTGAGGATTTTAGTTTGGTTTTCAAGAAAATAATTCTGAATTGTGAGATAGCATTTCCTGGCATTTTCTAATTATAGAACTACTTCTTAAGTGGCAATAAATAATTCTTAGAGTACTAAATCTGCAGATCAGTACAATTACAGAAAATTTTCACTCATTGAAAATTCCAAAAGCATTTGCAGACAGTTGCCTTATATGACTATAAAACATCTCTACTGCCAAGTCTCACATCTTATAGGACAACTGCTTATCGATAATAGTGCTGAAATCATCTCTAGTATTTGTGAGGTATCATAAGATTTACTAAGATTGTATTTCTAGGTAATGTTTTATTTCCTGGCAGAAAAATTTAGGAACTGACCCCAAGATGTTAATTAAAGCTGGTTTCCAGACAAATAGGGTCATGTCTTTCCCTAAAGGGGGAATTGGACTAGGATGAGACTGTCATTCAGCTGAGGTCACCAATGGCTTTGTCAGGATCCTTGGATGCCACAGTCTCAGCTTTGCCTGTCCATAGTCATGGGCTCAGATACCTTCCAAAATATGGGTGCATCCCAAATCCAAGGAGTGTTATCACTTACCATTCTGAATCCAGTCAGTGCCCTTTATACTGAGCTCATTTTGATCCATGTATTTTGACAAAAGCCCTAAACAAAGATAAAGTCAGTGAGTTATTATCATTAAAACATCCGGGCAGCTGGCAGAATTGGCCTCTTGATAATTAAATTCTAAAAACCGGACTTCCAAGTGTATGATATTTATATATAGGTAACATAGCTCCTTTCTCCTAGAAATATTTTCAAGGCCATCTTAAAAAAATGGGGATGCACAACAACACAATTTAGCAAAATACAGGATGACTATAGAAATGAAAGAATTTTCTTTGTACCTACAAACAAGACTGCTGCTCTTCTGATGGGAAGTTTTGTATTCTTGGAGTACATCAGAGTTTGGGCTAAGATGTTAATTTTCCCCCTGCATTTTATTCCCTAAGTAGGGGGGAAAATAAGAGTACAAAGCAGTGAAGTAGCAGTATCACCAGAGTTTGCAGGGTAAGGGACTATATCAGATACAGAGGCAGAGTACAAGAGTGCTTGATATAACTAGTGAACACTATCAGTGATTACGAAGGTATGCCATGGTAACAAGCCCCTATACAAAGCTAAATCCTCTGAAAATCTCTTGCCCATCCCAACTCATGCTGTGTATCATGCTGTGATGCCTTTAAAGCCATCCTAGCTTCCCTGGATTCTGTTTTCTAAACTTCTCCTTCACCTTTTCCCTGACTGCTTACCTGCCTGACCTTATGCTGCTCTAAGCATTTTGCAGATGCTCGTTTCTTGGCACAAGTCATTTTCCACTTTGAGTTTCTATTAATTTCTGCAGGTTTCATCTCCCTTACTAGCTTGCAGACTCCCAACTGGGTTTTAAACCTTGGCTTCTCCATGGCTTGTTGCACACTGGATGTGTTTTGCTTATCAAGTGAATGGATATACCTTTCAGGGGATCTCTTATAAGGACAGGCACCTGAGAGACAGGCTGAGGACAGGAATTTGTTCTCATAGAGCTTATGATTTAACATGAACAATTTGTAGTCAAATACTATCATTAGTGCATCAAGCTATAGGTTTGACTGCAGGTCAGAGAGAATCCCTAGTGGAAAGCCTGCACAAGGGTTCTTGGGGGTTCCTGCCAGCCTGATCAGAGGAGACCACTCCTGGTCCTAAACAAGTTAAACCTATGGAAGATTTCTAGGAATAGTCAGTCCCAGGGACTTTGTAGTAGAATCCAAGTAGTTTTATAATCAGTTTCTAGAAAACCAAGAATGGGCCTCCAGAACTTCGCTGGTTCTAGCCTGCCCCTGTGATGAGCTCTGTTGAATCTGTGAGGGAGAAGGTGCCATCTGGGCCCAGTGCCATAGCCAATGGCATGCTGCCATCATGCCCACAGCTACACTGCATGGCAACCGTTGGTTGAGGGGGTCCCCTAAACATGCTTTCATGGGGAATAAGATGATCTACCATATCCAGGGAAGGATGAGAGACAGCTGTAAGGGGAATATATAACTCCACTGCAATTCAGCCCATGTGGAGTTTTCTTTTTTTTTTTTTTTTTAAATATTTTTTATTTATTTATTTTAGTATTTGGTGGGCACAACATCTTTGTTTGTATGTGGTGCTGAGGATCGAACCCGGGCCGCACGCATGCCAGGCGAGCACGCTACCGCTTGAGCCACATCCCCAGCCCCCATGTGGAGTTTTCTGAACAAAACTATCAGCCTGACCTTATAACCCCAGATCCAGGTTAGTGGGCTTCTAAGAGTTTACCAGTCTAATTTGTGAAGAAGGTTGGTAAGAGGAAGTGAATTTGTGACTCAGTTGGGAGAAAACTATAGAAAAATAGATCTACAGTTTAAAACATTTCAGAGATTCATGTGCTGGCATGAAAGTGGTGAGCCATATTTCCTGAATGCCACATTCTACCATTAAAAACCATGTCAGGAAAACTAGGTATGTTGACGTGTTGAAGAGGTGACAAAGCCATTATTTCTCACATACAAAGAATCTGCAGATTTTTCCGGCTTCAGTAGGTCTGATGTACAAGGGGTCTCTGCAGTACACTTCCTGGGGCAACTTCCACTTCAGGAAATGAGCACAGATGGTTAAGACTCGCCGGCTCTCCTGTGAAAAAGATGATCATAGATCAGAATTTCCAAACATTTTTTTAAGCTGAGGTAATCTTTCTTTGATAAAACAGACACCAAAGTTCAATGAGAAAAGCTGATAAACTCAGGATTTCCCTGTGTGGAGTGAGAGGAGGGGTGCCAAGGAACCAAAATGCTGTTCTCCTCCTCCAACTTCCCCAGAGTCCCTGAGGGGATCCATAAAACCTCAGGGTTGAGGGGAAGATGCAGAAATCACTGGTTTCAGGCATGCTACCCAGACTTRAGATTCCACAGGGATTCTCAATTAACATGCTCTATAGAGACAGAAACCCCAACCCTACTGACTACACCTAAGTCATTTTTCTGTCACTCTACATGGGGAAGTGTAACTCTTGACTTTGTGACAGCCTGGGGCATCTCTGATTTGGAAGAAACTAAAGTACTGATTTAGCTAGTGGGCCTCTTAGCTAGTTCATTGCTCTCCAAATGCTGCCCAGGGACCATACAACATCTCTGATAAGTCTCCAAGCAAGTATTTTATCCCAGGCCCACTAGATATTTGGGCATAAAAATTCCTATGGGGATAAATGGGAATAAAAAATTAGTTCAGTGGACCCAGATGGCACCTTTCTATCTTCACAAATGCAACAGAGCTCATCTTAATAGTTCAAGGTAGTTTAGCTGCTTTGTTTAGTGCTTTGTAAAAAACAGGTAAACCAAAGATATCAAGATACCCTCCTCTAGGTTTATGCCTTTAAGAAATTCTCACACATGTGTATAAGGAAAGATATACAAGAATGCTCATTGTGGTGCTGTAATAATGAAAATCTGAAAAATTTCATGTCTATTCCATGGCATGGAATAGAAGAAGGGGATAAGTTGTAGGTTACTCATCTGATGGAAATTCATACAGCTGTGAAAATAAATTATCTAGAGTTTTACAACATGGGTGAATCTCATAAATACAATGTTAAACAAAATGCTGAAAGATATAGAGAATGATACAACATATACAGTTTTAAAACATAAGCAATATTAACACAGGAATGATAACAAATTTAGGATGACACTTTTGAGGGAATTCAGTTAGGGAAAGATATATAATTTATTCCTGTTTTATTTTTAGCATGGAGGTTGCTGTATGGGTGCTTAGTATGATCTCTGTGCCAGTGACTCATAACCTGATTTATGTTAGACATCTTCCCCTCTGCTTAGCCTGAGGAGCTTTGAAGAATGGCTAGAAGTTGTTCAATGTCTGAAGGGAAATAAGCCCATTAAACCTAACTGCCAAGGGCTGGCTGGGCAGGGCGTGGTATTGATAAGAGCTGTAAACTTCCCAGGCTATACTCCCTGTCACCTGATTGGCAAGTTCGGCTTCACTGCTTTTTGGGGTTTGAAACGGTTCATATTATGATTATATAACTGTAAACCTTTCCCCACACCAAGGTGCTAGGGCCCACAATCTCACATCTGTTTTTGAACCTGCATCCTTGACTTCCATTTCTGTAAAGGGTAGCCTACAGAGGAGAGAGCCCCAGGATTCTTCCAGAATCCTGGTGGTCATAGTTAGCACCATAGACTGGACAGACTGGCTTCTGATGTTGTGACAGAACTAAAAAGAATGACATTTCAACTTCCCACCCACCACCCAATTAAGAGGATGGCTTACATGGAAAACCACAATTTTTATGGCAAATACTCTCAGGAGATTTAGGGGAAATAATGGTTTCTCCAGATTGGCAAGGCTACTCTCACTGACCTAATCTCAACCAAGTTATTTGTCTTAATAATGAGGCAGTTCTTGAAGTGAAAAAAGAAAGATGACAGAATATTATCATTGTCATTAAAAAAAGAGAGTCTGTTGATTTGGGTATTATGTTTAGGGCTTGTTGTTAGGCTGAAAACTGGTGTGAGGCTACAGTGAGGGCTAACATATCATTCTTACCCACAGAGGGCCACAATTTAATACATAAAAAATAGGAGTAAAGTTTCACACAATTCACTTAGGCAAAATAATTGAAATGTAGCACTGTATCAGAGAAAATGGAGAACAAAGATGCTACTACAAAGTCCCTGCTCTCAAAAGACATGAATCCTTTTTTGCAGAGTTGGCTGTGAATTTAGAGTTCCTTGGGACTCAAGGAAGTTGACAGCAGGTATTACCTCAGCTATTGCATCATTTTCATCCTGAGAATACAGAAGAAGTGGGACCAAGCTGTCCAGGACCTGGTTCTCCACACCCTTCTTATCTGTGTGCTTTACAGACTTTATGGCGGCTCCAAAGAGGGTCATGGAGAAACAATGAACATCAGGTCTCACCTATGAAGGGAACAGCCAGAAGGATGCAACTCGATGAACATGTTCATGCYCAGCTTATAAAAACTGCAGGTGGGTTGAATGCCAGTCTTAACAGGGGCTGTTTAGCTGCAGTGCAGCTGGAGGCAGTACATATGGAGCAAGCCAGAACTGCTGTTTGCAGTCTGTCTTGTCCTCTCACTCCACAAGTGGGAAGCAGGCACAGTCCTACCTGTTTTTGTCAAAGCTTATGTCTGATACTGGTATTAACCATTCACACAAGCTATTTTACTTATATTCAAAATCCCAGCCTTGACATATTTTACTGTCCCAATGATGCTGGTCAATGTGCTCCATGCATTTCATTTTGGAAAATTGTTGGCATTTGAGACAAGGACATGACTACAGTCCATCATCTTGACCAAGTCCTGTTATTCCTTGAAAGCAAAGACAATGTTTTATCCTATACAAACTCTTTCTCCATCCCACAAAGCAAGGTAATACCTTGGCAAGCTTTTATGTCTCAATTTTTTTTTTAATCTGAAAAATTAACATTAACACCACCCTACCACATCATGGGTTACCTGGAAGGGTCTTGAAAGATTTGAAAAGTGCTCTGAAAGTAAAAAGTTCTATATAAAATAGAACATACTTATTACTATCCCAATTTCTACTCTCTTTTATGGCAATTACCCTCCCGCCTAGGGAAAGTCCCTCCTCTCTTATTATCTTACATCACCAAATAAGGAAAACAGTGTCCTCATCATGGCAGCCAGCGTAGTAAAATCCATTGTCCTGACGAGCTTCAGGAGAATCTGAATGGCTAACAAAACAATCTTTTCATCGGTTTCATATAAGCTGTCTAAAATGCATGGCAACAGGCTCTTGATGTCTTCCCTCTGTGTGTCCAAAGGGAGAACATCACCACCTCTCCTGGTGGCATGCCATCTGGTACCAAAGGGAGAGGGCTCTCAACTTCACTGGGTATTCATGTAAAGGGAGCATGATGGCCCGTCCATCAGTACTAGCAGGCCTGAGATGCATAAGAGTTGGTGGAGCGGTAGTGAGCTGCCTCATAAGACAGAAGTAGGACTAGGTGAGGGAGGTCCAGAGTCATGGCCCTGGCCTGTTGAGAGCTCTCCCAACACTGAGAGAAAGTCTGAAAGATTCCTTGGCAGGAATTCAGCAGAATTTATTGAGGATCTTCCCATTCTTAATTGAGATTCTACTTTTTTGAAATTCTTAAAAGGAAGCAGTCTCAATTTTAAAACACATATATTTAAAAATAAGTAGAATAAAACAATAAATACTAATGCATCTTATCAACCAAAATAAGCATTATTAACCACTGACATTTTTGCTTTAGATATATACATATGCTTTTAAATAAAAGAATAGAACTCAAGAGACAAAATTAAAGCCTCCTGAGTTAGTCAACTCTTCTGAACGAGGCCTAGTTTTCTAGTGAGGCCTATGGAAAATGAGATCTCTTCCAACAGGAATGTCAGTGATCTGTCTTAGATGACAGGCATCTTGGCAGTAGCTCAAAGGCCTATCCCAAGTTATTTCGCTGTGCAACATGGTACAAGGCATAAGGGCCATGTGAATATTGTCTATGGTGTGATAATAATGAGTATAACTCCACACAAATTGCAGGTTTCACATATTATCAATATATGTGACTTGGCCTTTAAGATATTTAGCTGCTTTTCTAATAGTAAGTACTAGACTATTTCCTAGGTATAAAATTCAAATGGTAAAAAAGGTTGTGCTAGGGGAAGGATCTTCTCCACCTGCTCCTGTCCCAAGGCTTCCCAAGTTTCTTCTTAAGTTGTTTTCAGTTCTTTGGGTATCTCTTTGGGGGTATTCTATTTATGACTTAATAATCAGCGATCTGGGGTCTTCCTACCATCTCCTGGTGTCTGATGAGATTGCACAGTCCCCTCAAGGCAAGAATTCTAAAGGCCTCATTTTCATGATTCAGCCAGTCCTTCAAGCGGGCTGTAGAATATTTACTAGGCAGTCTCCTGGCCACAGGACTCTGGAGAAGCTGAAAGAACCCCAAAATCAGCCAAATAAATGACCTTGAAGCCTTTTTTATAAAATAAGCTACCTTCCCACCAACTCCAAAATATATGTTTTACTTTGAAATCTCTACGATACAGCACACACACTATAGGGTGATGCTTACGTTGCAGATACATAAGGTATACCCAATAATTAAAGTGCAGAGACCCATTTCAATAGGCTTGAATCTGAAAAATTTGGGTGTAGCCTAGGAAGGCAGGCATTGCTGCTTTATAGCTTCCTGAACCCAGCACCAGGGAATGAGACTTACCTCCACAAAAAAGCCTGCAGATGTGAGTTTATGCTTATCATTCCCTCGGTTTAGAAAAGGCACTAACAGGTACATGACTTTATGTGCAAGGAGTTGGTTTCTTTCCAGCAATGCGCTGCAAAACACAACACCAACAGGATGACCCTCTGACATGCTCCCACACCAAGGGCATTTTCTCAGAGCAGGGCCTTCTGGACTTGTTGCCCATCTCAGGTATATAGGAGGCTATGGCAGGGCCAGGATCTCTGAAAAATATGCCCGACAGTCTAGACATTGCCTAGACTTATGAGCAGATTGTCCAGCCTTAGTTACTGTGGAAACTAAAGGGAATACAACAGCTAAAGCAATGCTGACTTAGAGCAGGAGGGTGTGTGCGCACCACAAGGGAGCCGTACTTGGCAAGGAGTGATATTCCCTGAAGATGGCGATCTTTTTCTTCCAGAAGAGTCCATCCTTTATTCTTTTCCATGATGTGGAATTCCTGCCAGCACAATGTTCTGAGGAGGAGAGACTTTGTAGCCTGAATGGCAAAGCTAAGTCAAACAAAGACAGTGACTAGAACAGGTCCTGCCAATCTGTAAGCACACAGTCACTCTGTTCTCATGGGGGAGGGCCATGCCTGCAGAGTTGCTGGACCCTACTTCTCCCTCTGCTAGATTGCCCAAAGACTCTCAATTCTCTAACAACTTGAAAGGGCTTCAAACAAATTCTCTGGAGTAGAGGAAGGGGCCCAGGGGAAGGGAGGATGGGAGAGAGAGAGGGGAGATACTAAGGAATGAAGTTGATCAAATCATGTTATCTGCATGTATAAATGTGTTATAACAAACCCCACTATTATGTATAATTATAATGTATCAATAAAAATAGAAGAAAAACTAGATAAACCAAAAGACAATTCTTGCATAAAGAAATCTAACTAGGGCTGAGGATATAGCTCAATTGGTAGAGTGCTTGCCTCACATGCACAAGACCCTGGGTTCAATCCCTAGCACCACAAAAGAAAACGAAAAAGAAATCTAAGTAGATTTTGTTTCCCCAGGAGTTTGGAAGGAAATCTATGATAAAACAAATGATCTGGGATGCTAAAAAAGTCTTTATTGATGGGCTGGGGTTGTGGCTCAACGGTAGAGTGCTCGCCTAGCATGTGCAAGGCCCTGGATTCGATCCTCAGCACCACATAAAAATAAATGAAACTAAAGGTATTGTGTCCAACTACAAATAAAAATTAAATATTTAAAAAATCTTTATTGAGATAAAATTTATACCCCATAACATTTATCCTCACTCCTTAAAAAAACAAAATAAAACAAAAACTACTCATTGAACTGGTATCCTGGACTGGGCATCAGACAATCTCAAAGCTGGAAGGGTCCTCAGAGGCCACTTTGCCTGACACCACATACAGACAAGGAGGCTGAGGCAGAGAACAGTGGAGTTGCTCTGGGTTAAATGGATGGATGAGAACAAGAACTTGGATCAACTGACTAAGTGATCTTACAGATTTCACATTATGGCACATTCTCTGAAAGAAATTCATGTCCCACAGCAACACTAAGAAATCTCTACTGAGACCCTAAAGGGGAACTAAAAATCTCTCTCTATGCAATAAAGCAGAAACAAGGAGTTGTTTCACTGGGTCAGTACAGGTTTGGAGGTAAGTTCAAGCTGTTTTGTTTGTCTCTGTTTCTACTCGATTTATCAGCAAAAGGCTACAATTTTTAAGGGCATGTGGACTCACATAACCAAAAGTACCCTGGTTCCAGGAAAACTAAGGACAACCAATGAACGCCCAGAACAGCTCCTGGGCACTTCATCCCTGTCTCATGACGGCTGCTGTTTGCTCCCTCACAGTTGGGACCACATCTTGGCTATCCTCATGTCCACCACAGCACCCAGTGCTTGATAATGAAATCATAATGGACTGTACCACAAAGGTGTGACCTCCGTCGACACTTTCTGTTCTGTGTACAGGCCACTTGGGATGTTGACATCAGACATGGTGAGGCCGATGCTGTGGTGGATCTGGATGAGCAGTGTCATGAGAAGCTGAGGAAAGAGTCGGAGCATGGCTGCTCGAAGCCTGTTTCCCATGAACACCTCATAAAGGGCACACGTTGCCTGTGGTAAAAAAGGCACAGAGCAGAGCTGAGCACCTGCCAGCCCTACTCCTCATTTTTGCTTTGTTTCTGTTTGTTCAAGAGTCCCGAATTTCTGAGTTTCTAAGACACTACGACTGTCCAATATTGAATTTCCGTGACATCCCTCTTTCAACAGAATATGGTTTCTGGACCTACCATCCTCCTGGTAGCGGTAATCAGTGTACGAACATGGCAGTGAGGAAAGGGGTCATTCAAAGTCACCAGGGAGTAAAGAGACTTGAAATCCAGAAGTATGAAGGAAACAATTCCCATACTTGATTACATACAAATAAAAAACCAGGGCAAAATTTATCATAAGGCTAGATGACAAATAGCCCAAGAAAGTACTGATTTCAATGTATTATTAGTATATAAAATGCTCTTTCCAGTAAGAAAAACTACACAGGCTTGTTACTCAATGTCCAGGCCACGGAGCATCACCTGGGAGCTGATTAGACATGGAGACTCTAAGGCCCCACCCAAGACCTTCTGTATCTATTTTTCATAAAATCCCTGGTGACTGTGGTTTGTGTCATATTAATTCTTTTTTTAAAAAAATATTTATTTATTTATTTATTTTTAGTTTTCAGCGGACACAACATCTTTGTATGTGGTGCTGAGGATCGAACCCGGGCCACATGCATGCCAGGCAAGCGCGCTACCACTTGAGCCACATCTCCAGCCCCGTGTCATATTAATTCTGAGAAGCACTGGTGTCTAGGACATGAACAGACAAGTCACAAATGAAGGAAAAACAGCCATTTAAAAACATACATTTAACCTGCCAAAAACAAAATTATTAAAACATGTTCCTTTCTCACCTAACAGTGAGAAAACAACGACAAGACTGGCAATGCTCAGTGTGGTGCAAGGCGAAACAGGCCTCCTCATGCCACCTGGAGGAAGGACAGTGCTCAGGAGGACCAGCTAGGAATACAGGTAGAAGCTCCATGCCCACCTTTGACCTAGAATTCCCCTCTACAGGCCTTCATCTTAAGAAAATATTGAGGGCTGGGGATTTGGCTCAAGCAGTAGTGCGCTCGCCTGGCGTGCCTGTGGCCCGGGTTCGAGCCTCAGCACCACATACAAACAAGGATGATGTGTCCGCCGAAAACTAAAAATTAAATATTAAAAGTTCTCTCTCTCTTAAAAAAAAATATTGAATATATATGACATTATTTATGTGCACACAATTAAGTTTTCTGCAGCATTGTTTTAATGGCAAAAGTGTGAAAATTATCAAAATGTTCACTAATAATTTGATAATTAAGAATGATTTTGAGCTAGGCTTGTGCCTACAGTCCCAGCACTCAGGAGGCTGGAGCAGGAAGATCAGGGCTTTCCAGGCAACATAATGAGACCACATCTCAAAAAAAAATTTTTTTTTTCACAAAAAACAACAATGAGAAGATTCTATATCTTATAAAATCTATCTTACAAAAAGTTATTTAAAAACAAATAGCTATCCAGGAGATTCAAGATGGCGAATTAGAGGAAGGCTGCATTTCCTATTGCTCCATGGCTTGGGACACAAGCAGCAGGAGTACAGTTGCTCAGCAAGGTGGGTGAAAGAGAGATGTCACTAAAATTCAATATTGGACAGTCATAGTGTCTTAGAGACTCAGAAATTTGGGTGTGTTGAACAAAGAACCAGAAAGAGTACATTGGAGCCAAGTTGGCTGTGGCAGCAGCAGTAGCAGTAGTACACTGGTTCCCCACGGGGGGGGGGGNCAGCAGAAACACAAAGCACAGACCTGGTATGGAAAAACCTGTAGATCAGAAAAGCAGCTTGAACTTAGCTAATCCAGAGGTTGCACAGAGAACTGGTGTTTGACAGGTAATCTGTATTTCTCAACTGGCAAGCAGAGAGCTGAAGCAGGAGTCATCCTGAGGAGGCCACACTTCAGCTTGCTGCTGTGGGAGCCCAGGAGATTACAGCAAATATTGTCATACTGCCCCAGCAAGAGCATACAGTGTTGTCTAGGGTGTGTACAGCAGAACATGAGTGAAAGAGGCTCAAAGAAGACTGTACCTAGGTGGATCCAAGTCAGAAAAAGAAGGGGAGTTGAACTTCTTTCCCTGTGAGTCTGGCAGCTCACATGAACAGGTGGGTAAACACTCAGCAGCTGCAAAGCTGGTGGAAGACTGGTTTCCTTGCTCCACAAGTAGAATTCTTGGGAGGTTGCCAAGATCCTGACTCCCTGCAGAGATAGGCCTCTGCCTGGCCCTAGGGGTATATTCATCTATTCTCTCCAGAGCAGATACCACCCAACAAAGCTCTTAGGGCTTGATTAGCCCCAGTCACCAGAACTTCCCTCAAAGAACTGAGCAGCAGCCCTGTCCTGGGAGTGCATAGATCTAGTCTGTGCAGACAAAACTCCAATCAACATGCCATCCTACCTTATCCTGGTGAGAAGGGAAGCTGAGAGCTTCAGTTTTAGGCCAATCCAACTAGCAGCTTGGTGAGCAACACAAAAAGAGGAAGAGGTTAACAACCCCCCAGCCCTTATTCTTTGTTTCTCGGCACATAGCCCACGAAGAAACAGAGAAGGATAGTTGGGCACAGGCCGTGACCAGTCATTCTTGTTGATGGTTTTGACCACCTCAGTGGAGATGATTCTTTAATATTTCATTAAGAATCTTTTCTGGGGGCTGGGATTGTGGCTCAGTGGTAGAGCGCTTGCCTAGCATGTGTGAGGCACTGGGTTCGATTCTCAGCACCACATATCAATAATTAAAATAAAGCTCTATTGACAACTAAAAAAAATATTTTTAAAAAAGAATCTTTTCTGGGTGTTCTTGCTGTGCTGAATGTTTTATGGACATATTTACATACACATATATGCTTCTTATTTTCCTCATTTTTTTTACATTAGTTATCTTTCTTTGCCTTGTCTTTTGAAGGCTAGGGTTTTTGGTTTTTTTTGTTTTTATCTTCTTTCTTCTCCCACTAACAGACAAATTCTCTTGTTCTCTCTTTCTCTCTCTTTTTACTTCATTTTTGTTATTTTTTTCTTCCTCCTTTATAATCATCACTTGCTGCATCTCTTCTGCATTCTCTCTCTCTCTCTCTCTTTTTTTTTTTTTTTTGGTACTGGGGATTGAACTCAGGGGCACATGCCCAGCCCTATTTTGTGTTTCAACTCACTGAGTTGCTTAGCACCTCGCTTTTGCTGAGGCTGGCTTTGAACTCGTGATCCTCCTGTCTTAGCCTCCCTAGCCGCCAGAATTATAGGCATGCACCACCATGCCCGGCTCTCTGTTCACATTTTGAATATCCTAAACTTTCTTATACTTTCCTGTCACATTTTATTTTCTCTTAAGGAACTGCATTTTTACCATCTTTTAGAACTATTTGGTTTATAGAACTCCATCTGACCATTCAGGTTGTTGCAAAACTCCATCTGACATTCAGGTTGTTGCAATTAAATACTGCAGTAAATGATATGGTTGGCACCTGCTGTTTACTTTAATGCCAGATCTAGTTCATGGTTATTTATTACTTTTACTATGGGCAACTGCTGACTCCACCATTCCTGGTTTTGTGGTAATTAGTGTGGTAGATGTCAGAGAGGTACCAAGTATTTATTTTAATGCTGTATTTGTCTGCATTGGTTGTTGCTATTGTTTGTTTCCCTTTAGTCTGTGAGGTGCTGGGAAGTTACAGGGACACTACAAGTTCAAAAGATACAGACTTTGCTGCTGAACTAAACTCAGTCAAAAGACAGTGCACCTTGCTCTACACATAAATTAGCCACACTCAAGCTATACTTTAATACAAAAAATAGTAGAGACAAAACCTACACTAACTACTGCGCCCCAAGTAGGAATGGGCCCTCAAGTAGCACCTGGGCCCCCAAGTCCCCTAATGGACCTCTACTCCTATAGCAAAAACAGACAGAATTAAATCAAAGGTGTGGATACCACACCTACGATGAAGGGTCGCACGCATAGATTGGAAGAGAAATCCATTCTAACAGACGCATAAAACTCAACACAGGAATACAAGAAATATGAAAAAAATTAAAAAACAAGGTGACATTATATCTCCTAAAGTTCATAATTCACCAGCAACTGACCCAAAGATATTGAAGTGGATGAAATAGCAGATAAAGAATTCAAAAGAATGATTATAAAAATGATCAATGAATTACAAGAGGACACAGGAAAACAACTGAATGAATTAAGGAAATCAGTACAGGAAATAAATGAGAAATTAAATAAAGAGCTAGAAATATTGAAGAGGAGCCAAACAAATTTTGGAAATGAAAGACACAATAAACAGAATGTTCAGTTGAAAGTCTCTCTAATAGAGTAGACCATACTGAGAAGAGAATCTCGGAGCTTGAAGACAAAGTGGCTGGCCTTGAATATTCAGACATTATTAAAGAATAGAAAATATGTAATCATGATTAGAATATACAAGAACTCTGGGACATTAAGAAACCAAAGTTAAGAATCATTGGAGGAAAAAAAATAAAAGAATCTTTGGAGGGGGGCTGGGGTTGTGGCTCAGCAGTAGAGCACTTGCCTAGCACGTGCAAGGCCCTGGGTTCGAGCCTCAGCACCACATAAAAATAAATAAATAAAGACATGTGTCCAACTACATCTAAAAATAAATATTAAAAAAAAAAGAATCATTGGAGAGGCTGGGGTTGTGGCTCAGTGATACAGTGCTTGTCTAGTACATTCGAGGCCCTGGGCCCGATCCTCAGTACCACATAAAAATAAACAAATAAATAAAATAAAGGTACAACTACAATTGAAAAATAAATATTTTTTTAAAAGAATCATTGGAATTGAAGAGGGTCATAAGATACAGGCTAATGGAATGGATAACATCTTCAGGTAAATAATAACAGAAAAATTTCCAACCTTGAGAATGAGATGGACATCCAGATAAAGGAAGCACTGAGGATCCAAACAGAGAAGATAAAAAAGAACCTCTCCATGACACACTATAATTAAAATGCCTAATATACAGAACAAGAATAGAATTTTAAAAGCCTCAAGAAAAACATCAGGTCCCATTTTTGAGGCAAACCAATAAGAACTACTTCTAATTTCTCAGCACAAACTTTGAAAGCCAGGAGGGCTTGGAATGATGTGTTCCAAGTTTGGAAAGAAAATAACTGTCAACCAAGATTGCTACATTCAGGAAAATTATCCTTCAGAATTCAAAGTGGAGGGGCTGGGGTTGTGGCTCAGTGGTAGAGCGCTTGCTTAGCATGCATGAAGCACTGGGTTCCATGCTCAGCACCACATACAAATAAATAAAATAAAGGTATAAATAAAATGAAGGTATCAACAAATTAAAAATTTTTTTAAAAAATCGAAGTGGAAATAAAATCCTTCTAAGATAAGCAGAAACTAAAAGAATTCATGACTAATAAGCCAACACTACTTAAGTACTCCATGCAGAAGAAATTGAAAAAATCCCAGAGTTTAAAAATTTCATTTGAAGAATAGCTAAGCAAATGAGAAACATGACCAAATTAGATATTAGAAATAAATTAAAGTGGGCTGGGGATGTGGCTCAAGCGGTAGCGCGCTCGCCTGGCATGCATGCTGCGCGGGTTCGATCCTCAGCACCACATACAAAACAAAGATGTTATGTCCGCCGAAAACTAAAAAATAAATATTAAAATTATCTCTCTCTCTCTCTCTTTAAAAAAAAAGAAAAGAAATAAATTAAAGTGACAGGAATTAGTAAACCTCTCTCTCTAATAATAATGAATATACACGGTCTCAATTCTCCAATTAAAAGACATAGGGCTGGTAGAATGGATTGAAAAACAAGACCCAACTATATGCTGTTTGCAAGAGACTCACTTTACAAGCAAAGGCAGTCACACAGGTTGAAAGCAAAAGGATGGAAATTTATATACCATGCAATAATGAGGCCAGAAAACATGCAGAAGTAGCTACTCCCATATCAAACAAAGCAGACTTCCAAACAAAAATGATCAGAGAGACAAAGGTCATTTCATACAGATAAAGAGAACAATCCAACAAGAAGATAAAATGATAGTAAATATTGATGCCCCAAACATTGGTGCACCTAATTACATAAATTAAAACTCAGATAAATCCAGTACAATAATACTGAATCATTTCAACACACATCTCTCACTAATGTATAGGTTATTCAGACATAAACTCAGGAAAGACTCTTTGGACCTGAAAGATATTAGAAATCAAATGGACTTAGCAGACATTTATCTATTCATCCATAAAGAAAAATAAAATATGACATTTGCAGGAAAACGGATGGAACTAGAGACCATCATGTTAAGTGAAATAAACCATACTCAAAAGGTCAAGGATCATACATTTTCTAGTGGAAGCTAGAGAAGAAAAAGGAAAAGGAAGGTGGAAGGAAGGGGGTCTCATGAAAATTAATCTGTAGAGTAGAGGATGGGAACCAGGGAAAGGGAGAAAGGGAAGGAAAGGGGAAACACTGGAGAATGATATCAGCCAAATTATATTGTTATTTTATAATCATGTACAAATATCTGACAACAAATCCCATCATTATGTACAACTATAATGCACCAATAAAAAAAAGAAAAAAGAAAAAATGGCTATCCAGTCAGAAAAGGATAGGAGTAGTTCATACATTGTTAAATTTTTTTAAAAAGTCATCAAACAGTGTATGTAATATGATCATATTAATATATATGTACATATATACAATTTTATTGACTGATTATATGATACAATATATACATTTATCTGTCCTAACTTCTAATACTATACTAAAATGACATATAGGAATTTTTAAAAAGGCATAAGTCCATAAGAACAGAGAAAATAAAAGAAAAGACAATAGCAGATTACAAATGTTGAATTATGAAAGCAAAAAGTCATAATGATAACTTAGATCAGAGAAAAGTAAAAACTGATAGGGGAGGAAATGCAGTAAAAAGTATATGCTGAAAGAAGGGAAGCTATGCATGTGTAGAAGCCAGGGATTTTGGGGAACTCTGTACTTCTTGCTCAATTTTGCTGTGAACATGAAACACTTTAAAAAGTAACATATATTTAAAGGAAAAAATGGGGAAAAAGTTTATCAAATATACATAAAAATGTTTAAATATGTATAAATAGTTCTAGAAAGTTCATTTTTAGGGAAATGGCACAGACATGAGCCAAGAATAGTTTTACATGTTTTTTGGAACCAGAAATTTAACCCAGGGTCACTTAACCACACATCTCCAGCCCATTATACATTTTTTTATTTTAAGACAGGGTCTTGCTAAGTCCCTTAGGGCCTCTCTAAGTTGCTGAGGCTCATCTTGAACTTGCAATCCTCCTGTCTCAGCTTCTTGAGTCCCTAGGATAATAAAGCATTAGTGCACTATCTGCTTTCCCCCCTTTTATTTTTGAGACAGGATTTCACAATGTAGCCCAGTTTTGCTTAGAACTCCTAGGCTCCCCAGTTTTGCTTTGAATTCCTGGGCTCCCCAGTTTTGCTTTGAACTCCTGGGCTCCCCAGTTTTGCTTTGAATTCCTGGGCTCCTGCCTCAGCTTTCAGAGCAGCTAGGATTTCAGGTGCATACCATAGTACCTGGTTCAAGATTTTATATTTTTAAAAGGATTATTATTTTTAAAAAGATAAAGACTATATAGACTATGTAGTAGAGACTATTATGTGGTCTGAAGAGCCTAGAATATTTACCATCAATCCTTGTTAACTGCTGCTCAAGGGGACCTTTGCTTTCTTTTTCATCTAACTATCTATTTATTGAGGTGCTGGGGATAGAACCCAAGGCCTCACTCATGCTAGGTACTACACTATCACTGAGCTATACCCCAGCCCACGCTTTCTATTTTATATACTTTCATATTATTCAACAATTTTCAAAAAGTTGTATTACTCTTTCACTATAATGATAAATATTTTTAAAGATAAATATTTTTAAAAAAAGATTGAAGCAGGAATGTTTTAAATATATTAAACCATACGGATTCCTACACTCTCCCAGCTCTCTCCATGTCAACCTGGGTAGAGGCACTGTAGATATAAAATGGATGACAAAAACCATCCATTCTCTGAGTGATGTTGGTCACCCTGGAGGGAAGCCTGGGGGGCGGAAGTTAGTGGGGAAGAGCTCAGTGACTTACAGCAACAGCCACATAGGCCATCTTCTCCTGGGTGGGCACCATATGGCATTTCTGCAGCTTCCTCAGGAGTCTCCACAGGATCCAGGTTGTGCTGGGCAGCTCTGCCTCCAGGGTTCTCCACAACTCAGTCAGATACCTAGAAACCCCAGAATAAGAAGGTTCAGGAAAGTGGCTTGTCTCAGACCTATCATGACTACCACCTTTCTGGAGTCTCTGGGATCCAATCTATAAGACGGTTTCCTCTCTTCTTACTTCCTCAGTACATCAAAGGCATCTGAGTACATAATAGGTAACTTCCAAGGTTTCATTGAATCAAGTTCCCTTTGCCTGGGCACAGACTTCAAGGCCATTCATAAACTGGTCCTCACCTAACTTTCAGTACCTCTATGTCCCCCCATCACATACTCTGGGCTCTAGCCACCTGCACCATTCACCTTCGCCAAATTGTGGACTTTGAAAACCTCTACCTTTGCTTACAGCATTTTCTTAAACCGGAAGACCTTTCCCCAAATTTTCCTCTGCCCATCACCCCTTCAAGGTCCAGCTCCAGTGTCACCTCTTCTGTGTATCTTTGCTACTTCCTCACCATGTCTCTCACGAGAGTTTCCATAACCCTTTGTTTGTTTGTTTGTTTGTTTGGTACTAGAGATTGAAACCAGGGGTGCTTTATTACTGAGCTACATCCCCAGCCCTTTTTTTAATTTTTTAGAATCTTGAGACAGGGTCTTGCTAAGTTGCTTAAGGTATTGCTAAGTTGCTGAGTCTGATCTTGAATTTGTGATCTTGCCTCAGACTTCCAAATTGCTGGGATTACAGAGTGCACAGCCATGCCTGGCCCCATGACACTCTTCTCCTTTCTAGAGGTTGCCTCAGTCTCACATGTGCCATTGTCAGTTCTCTATGTGTGTGTCTATCTGAAGGAAGAGATTATGTCCGCCCTTCTAGAGATCCCTAAGGACCTAGCATACTGCCAGGTAGTCAAAGGCACATCTATTCAATATAGTCTGTGGTCCTCAAATTGGCTAAGGTCAAGCCCTAAAATAAAGCTTTGATTCTACTTAGAAGAAATCTTTTTTTATTTTATTATTATTTTTTTTAGTTTAGCCACTTTCCTGAATCTTCTTATTTTTTTTTATGTGGTGCTCAGGATCGAACCCAGCACCTTGCACATGCTAGGCGAGTGCTCTACCACTGAGCCACAACCCTAGCCCCAGAAATCTTTTTTTTTTTTAAATATTTTTTAGCTGTTGATAGACCTTTATTTCATTTATTTATTTATATGTGGTGCTGAGAAAATAACCCAGAGCCTCATACATGCTAGGCAAGTGCACTACCACTGAGCCACAACCCCAGCCCAGAAGAAATCTTTTCTTAAGGAAAAGTAATATGTAATAATTTTCAAAAAGATTACCAATTTGAAATTACAGCTATGGCCATCCTGGGCAATACAGAGACCTCAACTTATAAAAAAATTCTTTATTATTATAAGGCCTGAGAGTTATATAAACATTGTGCAAGTGATGGGGGAGAGAAGATTATTGCTTTTAAAGGGAGTTACTCATGCTTTTAAACTTTTTTTTTCACCTTTTTCTGGTGCTACGGATCAAACCCAGGGCCTTGGACATGCTCGGCAACCCACTCTGTCATTAAACTACAGGCCCCCTTGACCCAATCCATTCTTCACCTATTTTTAGAATCTATCTATTTTTCTACTACAGATAGGGTTTTTTCAAGTATGCTCTTCCAACTATCTACATGAGACTCTTTTAAAACTTGAGAGCATTGGAGACTCTCTAAACATTTCACTCCCTACTTCAGAAATTCTACTCTGTGAATAACAAAGCATGAAGGTCCTAAAGACTCCTGAAGTGAAGACTAGAAAGGAAGTGGGGATAATGAAAGCCTCATGGCTGAGAAAATAAGTAGATGGTAGAATATGAATGTTCATCCTGGGAAGATGTTAAGAAATTCCTTTGTTTACTCACAGTGGGATATTTTCTCTGAATTACTGAAGAACTAAATAAAATGCTTTGAGAAACTATTTCTTGTGAAAGAATTGCTCTCAAATGCTTTTGGTTCACAGCACATTTCTAAGAGTGCTATGAGTGTGTCTAAATTAGAAAACACAGTCTTTAAGCCAATGATTCACAGAAATTAATGTGTAAAAAATATCATCTGGGGAATTTGTTAAAAATATGGAGGGATAGCTGGGTATAGTGACGCATGCCTGTAATCCCAGACACTTGGGAGGCTAAAGCAGGAGAATCACAAGTTCAAGGCCAGCCTCAGCAACTTAGAGAGGCCCTAAGCATCTTAGCAAAACCCTGTCTCAAAATAAAAAATAAAAGGGGTTGGGGAGGTGGCTTAGAGGTTAAGCCCCCTGGGTTCAATCCCTGATACAAAAAAAAAAAAAAAAGGAGGACTAAAAAAAATTAAAAAGAGGTCTGGGGATATAGCTCAGTTGGTAGAGTGCTTGCCTCACATGTATAATGCCCTGGGTTCAATCCCCAGCACCAAAAATAAATAAATAAACAAACAAACAAATAAATAAATAAAATAAAAAAGAGGGAGCTCYGTGGTAGAGGGTTGGCCTAGAGTGTGCAGGCCCTGGGTTGAATCCCCTGCACTATAAGAACAACAACAAAAAAGCAAAAGCCAAACAAACAAACAAAAGCAAATAGCTGATCATGATTCCCTGCTTGTGGGCATCTTTGGAAACTGCCAGGTGCCTCTAATAGAAAACTGTCCAGCTCAAAAACCTATTTTGTCTATTTATCTCTATAATTGAATTTTTCTCTATGTATATATTTATACCTTCTTTTAAAGTATTTATTTACTTACTTATTTTGGGGTGAAATCATTCTGCAAGTGAATTGCCAACCTCATTTTCACCCCTCAATAATTTCAGACTCTATCTTCTGACAGAAAGCACATAATTCCACTTAACCATAATATCATTTCACACCTAAGCAAATTATATTAATTTACTAATCTAGTGTAGAGGCCATATTTACATTTTCTCCAAATTTTCTTTTATGGCTTTTGTTTTTGATCCAGGATCCAATCAAGGTCATATAATACATTGGGTTATGTTGCTTTAGTATCTTTTTATCTAGAATGGTGCCTCTATCATTTTTTTCTTTCATGACATTAACTTTTTTGGGGGGGAGTACAGGGGATCAAACCCAGGGGCATTTAACCACTAAGCCACATCCCCAGCCCTTTTTATTTTTTATTTTGAGACAGAGTCTCACTAAGTTGCTTAGGGATTCACTATGTTACTGAGGTGGCTTTGAACTTGTGATCCTTTTGCCTCAGCCCCCAAGTTGCTAGGATTACAAGCATACACCACCACACCCAGCTTTGACATTAACCTTTTTTGTTTGTTTTTGTAGAGTCCAATCTAATTATAGAATGCTCTTCATTCTGGCTTTTTTGGATTATCTTACATTTATGCATTATAGTCTGATTTATCTCCCAGGTAACTGTCTATATCTTACCTTCTCTACAAGAGAATCCTTAGATTTTTTAGGGCAACCCCAGTTTCAAAATACTCAGTGATATGCTACATACCCCAATTTAGTGTGGAGGCTGTACAGGGTGCTGTTACCTGTCATATGGTATTGGATGACACAGAAGGTGACTAAGTACTATATCTGTGTACTTGGGCCTGGAGATAAACAAACTCACAGTACTTATGACTTGTTGTCGGACTCTAGGCTGGCTGATTATGGATAGCCGGGCACATATAATTCCCATAATTTCTGGTACCTGAAAAAAAAAAAAGAAATTACTAATATCACTGAGACCTTAACCTTGTGGGATACTGATGGTTACTGGGGTACTGTGGCCATTTCTGAAAGGAAGCTAGGAAGTGACTTTGAAACAAAATAATTTTATGAAAAAGTTTAAAATCAAAACTATTTAAAGTATATCTGTATGTAAGAATTTGTAAGGCTGCATATACAATGTTAGTAGTGTGTCTGAGTGATAGGATATTAATTGGATATTAATTTTACTTTTTGCTTATCTATTTTTTTCTAATTTTCTCTCAGTGATTTCATATTGATTTTATAATAAAACTAAGATACGTGTTGCAAGAAAGYTGTTTTTTTCCACTCTGACTCTGATTATGGCAGGGGTTCTTACCCACCTTCCTCTCAGATATGTCTGTCCGTCCAGGTCAAGGAAGCAGGACTACTCTTCCCATCCAGACCCCTGACTTCAGGTCTCTGTGGAACTGTCAGCTCCTCAGAGAGGCTGTCCTCAACAACCTTGCACCAGATGGCTGTCACCTCCATCACCAGTCACCAGAAACTGGTGTAGGATGGGCATATGATGCAGTTCTGGCCAATGAATCATGAGGGAAAAAATCTATTGGGGGCTTTTATTAAAGATTTTCCTTGCTAAATAAGGGACAAAGAGGAAAGCAGCATGTTTCTTCTTTCTGGATAGTCTTAACCTGCTCATGAAGTCTGACATCACTGTGACCACATGAACGGGAAAAACAGAAAGATGGGTCTTTGCCTGAACACTGTTGAGTCACAGAAATTATGCTGTGTTCAGACTTCTCCAGGATAATACATCCTCTGGTGAAGCCTCCACAGTGGGTCTTCGATTTGCCACTGAGAGCACCTTCATGATCCTAGTGCCGTCTCTCCCTGCTTCCTCAGACTGCTCTTTGTGCCTCTGAGGAATTTTGTCCCATCATTCCAGCTGAGGAACACCTATAAAAACTTAAATACAGCATATAATTATGTAACATATTATGTATTTAATATTAATAATAAGAGTAAAATTATAATAATTATAACATAATACTATACATAAGCTGTAGATTGATTTCCAACCTATCTTAATGCACATGTATCAATTGTGTTGAAATATTCATGGAATTGAAAACTTGTGATTTCATTGGTTAATAGGTTAAAATATAGGTTTTCATTATTTTAAAATTGTCTTATTATTTTATTTTTGTGGTGTGGAGGGCTTGAAACTAAGGCTTCGCACATGCTAGGCAAGTACTCTACCACTGAGCTATCCCCTAGCCTCTATTTTTTCTTTTTATCAAAGCACAACATGCACACAATCTAAAACTCCAGTGGTCCCTTGTGTCTTTCCTCCCTGTTTCCCATGTCTACCCTCCAGAGACAGCTGCTTTTATCACTTTCATTATGTTCTTCTGTATTTTAGATGATGTAGATGATTTCTTTTTCCTTATTTTCTTATTTCTTGATGTATCAACTTTAGATACATCTAGATAAATTATCTTGATTTTAGGCTAAGTCTGCCTTTTTCTAAGGTCACTTATAGATTTTTTTTAATTGCATAAGAGCCTAAATTGAAGTTAGCATTCTCATACGTGTAAATTTTATCTCCCCAGAAAAATCCTCTTCTGGACCACACCTTAATTTTAAAAATCTCCCTGAGTAGTTTTATTTTGGTGGGGGGGTGAGGGTGGGGGTACTGGGGATTGAACTTGGGGGCACTCAACCACTGAGCCACATCCTCTGCTCTATTTTTGTGTATTTTATTTAGAGACAGGATCTCACTGAGTTGCTTATGCCTAGCTTTTGCTGAGGCTTTGAACTCATAATCCTCCCACTTCAGCCTCCTGAGCTGGGATTACAGGCATGCATTACAGTGCTGGGCTCCCCCACCTAGTTTTTACACAGGTGTTTAGAATATGCTTAATGAATGGAGGAATATTTGTAAGCAAATGGATTAAGGCTTTGACCCAGTCTGCACCAGCAGTTGTTTGCAGTTAAACAGGCACAGAAGACACCTTGAAGCTGTGGAAGTGGAGAGGTTTTGCTGGTGTTTCACACCACCGAACTTTTACCTTCTCAAATCGGGATTCTGCGTTTTTCACCAAAGTCATTAGCAACTCTCCTGCTGCCTTCTGGGTGTAGGAATGTCTCAGATTTTTGAGACCATCCAATGTGGTCATTACGAACTGGCAGAGTTCTTCTGAATTGAGGAAAACTTCAAAAACCTGAAATGATTTAGAAAAAATGAACTTCCAGTAAATATGGTATGACAGACCATGAACAAAGAGAGGATTCTAAGTTAACAATCAGAGAAATGTACAAAGATGTACCAGACTGTTTACTTCCATCTTGTTTACAAAAATGAGAAATGACCTAAATGTGACCCAAATGTCTACAGCTAATGTCAGTGCAGGACTTTTACTGCTCTTTTATAAAGCAGCTTTATTTGGAGATCCTTAGAAAGTGACACTTCCTAGGAGCAGAACTAAAGAAAAGCCCTAAGGTCTGACAGCTGACAGTGTCCCAGGCCAACTAAAATGCCCCACCAGGAGACACTGAACTTCTCATTGCCTGGACAGTATGTAAAGTCCTTCACTTGATCACACAAGGAACCAGCTACTGGACACTTACTATGCGACAGGCCATAAGCTAATCATGTTCCACACTGTATTTCAGTCAACCCTCACAGCAACTGAGTCATCCCAACTTTTTCAGATCCCCATTGTATAAAAGAGGAATGATGCACAAGAGATTAAATTACCTGATACCTTTGACCCTAAATGAGTAAGATCTGTTTTCTTTTTTCCCTAATTCCTATCATACCTGGTAGGCACATTGGATGCATAAATATTTGTTCTTACAATAATGAATACCTGCATTAATTAACAAGTGTGTGGTTCACTGGCTCAACCACACCCTTGCAGCTCCTTTGTGTGACAAAGATTCACACGTGCAAGAAGCTGGCAATATGTGGAAGCAGAACTAGTCCTAAGAGAAATCCAAACTGAAGCAGGCCAGAGACCCCTCCCCCAGAAGACCCTTACTAAGCAGAAACCCCCACCATATTATTACATATAGGTTGTGGGAAGCCAACCTTATGGGTGACTGAGTTACATATCTTCCTACAGCCCCATGGGTGCAGCTATGCTCACCTGTTGCTTTGTAATATAACCCCTTGCCCTGTTTAGGATAGAATCTTCCATGGAAGTGCCTTGTGTGTCCCCTTCTCTTACTGTGCCCTTGGGTGTGGCCTACCCAGGTGTCAGTCAACCTGCTGACAGTGGACATCATGAAGATAGACTCAGCCCCCTGAAACCTGACCCCTTGCCTCATTTGAATAGCTTCTCCTCAATAAAAGGGGTCAGTGCGTGCTCTCTCTCTTTCTTTCTGTGGACCCTTAAGGTCAGAGGAGCCGTCACAGCGACCCCAAAGAAAAAGGTATTTGTGTCTCTTGTGTGGTTATTTCGTGCAGCCCAGTTAGCCCAGTTTAACTAGAGTGACCCCTGAGCCTTTTAGTCTCGAGAACAGAAACCCGGCAATAGGTTCCTTTTCTTCTCAGAAAGCTTTTTACACAGGATGCCAGGAAAAACAAAAAAACAAAATCAAAAACTTCTGCAGAAAGCATTGTGATTGGTAGTTTCCTCTTTTTGTAAATGCCAGGTTTGCAGAAACAAACAAATAAACTTATGAAACCACTGTCTGGTCTACAGGATGGAACAAAAATTACTTTCTGAGAACTAAAATTGCTTTTATGTAAATCCTCCAAACCCCTCCCACTGGATAAAAGGTTCAAAGAATTTCTAAAATCTTGGTCCACAGAATAATTTAGGCAATAGCCCTCTGAACCAACCACAGTCAATAAACCTGCTTCCTGAAAATTTCTCAGGTGTCCAGTCTCTTCTGTCCTACTTTAAAACGGTGATACTGGCCTCACTGACAGGTTGACCTGCACCACTAAACTAAGAGGACAGGTATATAAAAGTTAGAAACATGATGTCTCCTCTCCAAACTATGGGATGTTAAGAGAACATGTTCCCCAAGCAGCTGGTATGTTTAGTTTTATAAGAAAATACCAGAACTTTTCCAAAGTGATTTTTACCATTTCACATGATAAAATAGAAATCATGTACAAAGAAACAAGACTTCTGGTCACTCTTCTTCCTGGCCAACACTTCAAGTTGCCATTCTGATTACCTGGGCAATTTTGAAGGGATAACGGTAGAACCGTTTAATATTGTAGAGCTCCAGGAAGTCACGACACTTTTTCAATGCTTTTCTCAAATTTTGGTGGTTTTTCTCGTCATGAGTAACATCTAAGAAGAAAGTATGAAATATTATTACTTTTTGGATTCTTTCTTTATTCTAGATTTTACAACTTGGGTGCATCTCTACTTTGGATTCCAAGATCTCACTGAACAAAAATGCCTGGGGGCAGGGCATGTGCCAATCTGAAGGCTGATTTGCTTGCCCTTCCTTGTATAGCAATAAATAAAATGGGTCAAAGGAAAAAGAAAAGGGCTTTTTGTAGGAGCAGAGTTTTTGAGTGATTTATGAGTTCAGATAGGGCATGCTACTATGTTTCACCATTGGTGAGGAATTTTGAAGGGTCTCCTTTGAAGCTTAGGTCCCAAGAAAATAATTTTTTTTTCTTTTTTGTACAAGGGATTGAACCAAGGGGCACTTTACTACTGAGCCACATCCCCAGCCCTTTTTAATATTTTATTTAGAGACAGGACCTTGCTAAATTGCTGAGGCTAGCTTTGAACTTGTGATCCTCCTGCCTCACCATCCAGAGCCACTGGATTACAGGTGTGCACAGCCCCCCAGCCCCCCCCAAAAATCTGGCAATTCCAATAACAGAAGTCTTTATTAGTCTAGTTCTGTGTGTGTGTGTGTGTGTGTGTGTGTGTGTGCGCGTGCGCGCGCGCATGCTAGGGACTGAACCCAGGGGTGCTCTACCACTGGGTTACATCCAGCCCCTTTTATTTTTTATTTTGAGACAGGGTCTCACTAAGTTTATTGTTAAATTGCTGAGACAGGTTTACAACTTGCTCCGATCTCAGTCTCCTGAGATGCTGGGATTACTGGCATGTGCCACCACTTATGGCTATTTGTGCTGATTATTGAGTCTGCCAACAGTCCTTGTGGTGCCTTATCTCTCAAGCTTTAGTGTGACCTGAAAATTTATCTATAGGAAGTCTCAATGTGCTGCCTGATATGCTCTTACCTCAACCTCTGCATAATTATTCTTTATTCTTCAGATTATCTTTAGTATTTGGCAGACACAACATCTTTGTTGGTATGTGGTGCTGAGGATCGAACCCGGGCCGCACGCATGCCAGGTGAGCGCGCCACCGCTTGAGCCACATCTCCAGCCCCTCAGATTATCTTTAGAGAGGACTTTTCTGAGCCCCACAGCTAGATTTGATTCTTATTTATGGTTCCTGCAATTTCCCTTCATGACGGTTACCTTTATTGATAATAATAGTTATTCATTGACTCTGCCTAGAGCCCCCACTAGGTTTTGTGTAATATAAGGATTGGGACTGTTTGTGTTCTAGTTACTGTGGGATCCTGAAAAAGTAATAAATAAACATTTGTGAGAAAAATAAATGAATGAAGGACCTAACGATGGCAGGAACCTCTCTCACTTATGAACAAATCAACCACTCCATGGCCACGCAGATAAATGATAATGATCCAGAGTTATGATTCTAATGATTGAGTTAACATTGTGTCATCTCTGTCTATAGACTATGTACCTTTCTCTGTATGAACTACAGTGAAAAGGCTTTCTAGAACAAGGGGAAGGAGGGCACAGGAGGGTTGACGCAATGTTGCACTAGAGAATTGGGTTGCAGCCTGGCTGCCCCCAGCACTGCCTTACACTTCATCCGCAGGGTGATATGCAGCAGGTAGTGTGTGCCCTCGGCAGCCTCCTCTGCCACAACTTGCAGTGGGTCTCCACACAACAATGCCATCACAGCCACCAGGTGTCCAAGTCTTTGGAATCGCAATGGAGGCTAATTGAAAAGGAAAAAGAAAAATGCCATCAGAATACAGGTGTATTTAGTGCCTTAAATTTAGGTTGTTGAGAAGCAATCCCACTTCTATCTCCAACTCAAGAGAAGCTCAAAGATCATATTCAGCCTTTAGTTCTCTGAAGAGTTAACATTTAACCTGGATAGATACAACAGCACCAGTAGATGGCATTAAATAGGCCAATTATAATCTAAGTAAACAATCTGAAAAATGAATATTTTTTTCTTTAAAGAGAGAGAGAGAGAGAGAATTTATATATATTTAGTTTTCGGTGGACACAACCTCTTTGTATGTGGTGCTGAGGATCGAACCCGGGCCGCACACATGCCAGGAGAGGGTGCTACCGCTGGAGCCACATCCCCAGCCCATGAAGATGTTTTGTGCATAAAGATGTTCCTTGTAGCACTATTTTTCAAGATCACATTTTGGGAAATAATTGCTCAATAATGCTAAAGAGAATTATGGTACATGCATTCTAGGAATGCAACCATTACAAATCAACTAGCTGAGGAATTTACAATACTAGAAAACATGCTACTCTGATGAGCAAAATGGTGGATGCAAAGTGAGATATAGCATTTAATGCTATTTAAAAATTTTTCTTATTGAGGCTGGGTGCACTGGCACACGCCTATAATCCCAGTGGCTTGGGAGGCTGAGACAGGAGGATCACAAGTTCAAAGCCAGCCTCAGTAACTTGGTGAGGCCTTAAGCAACTCAGAAAGACCCTCTCTCTAAATAAAATACAGAAAAAGGGCTGGGGATGTGGTTCAGTGTTTAAATGCCCCCTGGATTCAATACCCTGTTCAAAAAAAATTGTTTATTGACACTCTTACATTATTATGGAAAAAATAATGGCTGCTGGTAAATATTATACTATAAAAAGAAATGTATTTTTTTATAGAGAGAGGAGAGAGAGAGAATTTTTAATATTTATTTTTTTTAGTTTTCGGCGGACACAACATCTTTGTATGTGGTGTTGAGGATCGAACCCGGGCTGCACGTAAGCCAGGTGAGCGTGCTACCGCTTGAGCCACATCCCCAGCCCAAGAAATGTAATTTAAAATAGTGAAAAAAATAGTAAAAATTAAAATTAAAGCAGAAAATATTTATGAAATCAAGAATTTAGTTAGCCGGCAGAATTCATGTTATCATTTGCTTGAGGCAGGCCACAGAGCTAGGCTCTGAACTTTCTCGTATTGTGGCTAATGTAGAGGTGCACACAATGTCCTGTATTAATATGATTCCCTCTGTGTATAAAAAAGCAAACAGACATGCAGATGCAGCACAATTTTCCCCCAGATTGAGGCAGAAATAAATTTCTTCTGCAGCTCTTCAAAAATAAGACAAGAAATATTGTGGGGCTGAGGCTGTAGCTCAGTGGTAGATTGCTGGCCTAGCACGTGTGAGACACTGGGTTCGATCCTCAGCACCACATAAAAATAAATAAAGGTACTGTGTCCATTTACAATTAAAAATATTTTTTTAAAAAAACAAAATATTATGAACATCAACCTCTAGAGTCTGTTTAGAGTAAACAAAGCAACACCTGTGCAAAGATGTAAGCTACAGACCAGTTGATCAGGGGGAGGCAGGAGCCAGATCACACAAGACCTTGTGTTCTAACAATAGCTGCAAATCACTGGATCAAAAGAGTCCATGAGGAAAGAAGAAAAAAAAAAAATAAAGAACACACAACTGGGAAAAACAAACAGATATAAGACAAGGGCTGGGGATGTGGCGGTCCAGCATGCACCAGGCCGGGGTACTGCGGGACCTCTTTCCAAATCCTTGCCTTTCTCTTTTTTCAGTCTCTCACCTCTCCAGCACCACAAAGCAATCCAAGCAAACAAACAAGGAAAAGAGTGACTGAGTCTCAAGAAGAGAATTCTGGCTACAGAGAGGGAATAAATTAGATGGAACTAAAATGGAATCCTTCACCCTAGTACTCATGCACAAAAAGTACTTGGAGGGAATAAATAAAAATATTAAAGGGTGTCTATCTCTAAATGATGACAACAACAAGCTAATAATTTTTATTCCTTCTACTTTTAAAATAACATTTAAAAATTTTTTTCTATGATGAGTATGTTGATATTCTCAACATTAAAAAACTCCAAAGTAGAATGTAATGCTAAGTGAAGTAAGCCAATCCCAAAAAACCAAATGCCTAATTTCTTCTCTGAAATCAGGATGCTAATTCATAATAGGGATGGTGGCAGAGCATGGGAGGAGCAGAGGGACTTTAGATAGGGAAAGGGGAGGGAGGGGAAGAAAAGATAGTGGAATAAGATGGACATTATTACCCTAAGTACAGGTATGAAAACACGAATGGTGCAATTTTATTTTGTGTTCAACGAGAGACATAAAAAATTGTGCTCTATTTGTGTAATATGGATTGAATTGCATTCTGCTGTCATATATAACTAATTAGAATAAATAAAATTTTTTTTAAAAAACTCCAAAGTTTATTATCACACACACACAAAAATCACTGGAGAATTATGTGCCTAGTCTGGTCACTAAGTCCTTCTTTAATATTCTCTTTCTTATTCTGTTTTTGATTGCATTTTGCTTTTTTAAAAATATTTATTTTTTAGTTGTAATTGGACACAATATCTTTATTTTATTTACTTATTTTTTATGTTGTGCTAAGGATCAAACCCAGGGCCTCGCACGTGCTAGGCAAGTACTCTACCACTGAGCCACAACCCCAGCCCTGCATTTTGCTTTTTTGAGAGAGGGTCTTACTGTGTTGCCAGGCTGGCCTTGAACTTGTAATCCTCTTGCCTCAGCTTCATGAAGAGCTAGAACTCCAGGCACATAGCAACAACATGCCCAGCCTTTTAAATTCTTTATCTTTATTTTTTTTTCCTTTTTTTTTTCTTTTTGATGGTACTATTGATCAAACCCAGGGCTTAAGGATGCTAGGCAAGTGGCCTACCACTGAGTTATGTCCTTGACCCCTACATTTATTCTTTAGGTTTCTTTGAGAATATGAAAAGAGTTATGGACTCAGAGAACTTACATTTGCCTAAACTCATTAAACTATAAATGAGGTGTATTTCATTTTCTATATAAATTACAACTCCATATAAGAAAAGCTATAGAAATTTTCTAAAAAATCTAGAAGATTACACCATGAAAAATTCTGGTACTACTTCTAGATGTTCATAGATCCCCACAAGGCACCTAGGATAAATATTCCTATATTAACAACTCTCTAGGGGAAAAAAAATGCTAAGGAAGACCCTAGGGTCCAGAGAGAGATTATGTGTACAGGAGGGAGTTGTCTGAAACTCTCCTCTTCTTTAATCTGTAGCTAAAATTAGAGGTTGAGGAATGTAGAAAGAAGAATGCATTGTTGTTATTGGAATTGTAGGTGGTCAGTGATGCCAGATGTTACTTGTCTTCTGTCACTAAAAAGAAAAAAAAAGGAAGTAAAATAGTTTAAGAGGCCAAATTTACTTCAATAAGGAGGTAGAAAGTTTATATATATTTTCCATGTGAAAAATAAGAAAGATGGTGGAATGCTTTTAAACACAACTGTTAGAACATCTATATTGAGAACAACTTCAATGAGGAAAATTCTGGTGTAAGGACCCAACCTTACTATCCCACCAAGTTATCTTCCAATTCCCAGGCCTTATTACACAGTTTCTAGAAATGATGAGAGGAGAATGGGAGCAGCTTCAGTGGCTAAAAGACCTGCTCATCGAAGGAAAAAGAGAGGTTTGTAGAAGAAGAATGGAATAGATCCAGGGAAAAGTTTAGTTTGGGAAAATTCTTTTTAGAAGTTACAGAGGAGGATTCAGAACAATTGAGAGGTAAGAGACTGATAAAGAGAAAGGCAAGTATTTGTAAAGAGGCACCATAGTACCATTCGCTCTGAGATGGTGCGAGGTATTTAAATTTATTTACTTGAATTGGCCTGCTGGACTTCATTTCTTCAAAAGCAATCTGCACAGGGCTGGGGCTGTAGCTCGGTGGTAGAGCACTTGACTAGAATGTGTGAGGCACTGGGTTTGACCCTTAGCACCACATAAAAATAAATAAAATAAAGGTGTCTGTCGTGTCCATCCACAATTAAAATATATATTTTTAAAAAATAAAAGCAATCTGCACAGACATGGGGCTATAGTGGGCTCTCAGACATTTTCAGATTACACTTATGCATTCATTCATTCATTCAAAAGCATTACTATATCATTAGGTTCCAACTTGCTTTCTCAGGAATGGAGATACAAAGATTAACACACAGTACCTGGCCTCCAGCTGCTCATCTTTTAAGAGAGGGGCTGAGTATTGTGATACCACAAGAGCACCAAGAGCCCCAGGCTGGGAGTCCTAAAGAGGGGGGGAAACAGGCGGTGGAAGGATGGCTTTGGGTCCTTCTTCCTCTGCAACCAGAGGGCTGCTCACCTTCAGGCAGAGGTGTTTGGATAAGCACTTCAGAACCTGGGCCATGCTGGCCGTCGCCCGCTTCCGCTCGTGGTCCTTTGGTGACTGTAACCAGGGGTCCAAGTGCTGCAAAAAATAAAGGGAGGCAAAGTGGCTTATCAGAAATATCTGGGATAACACTTTTATTCTCTTTGGAAGAAAATGTGGAAAGAGAAGATCCATATTACTTTGATGTTTGCAAATATCTCCCTAAATGCCAAATTGGCTTAGGATGGAAAGGAAGGTGGGTGAGGACGAGCCAGAGTGAGGAGCCTGTGGTCAGCAGGGCTGGCTTCTATGCAGGCTGATTGCCTAGACTTATCTCTCTGCCTCCTAATTCTTCAGTTAATTATTTGACTTTTCTCTTTCTTTAGCCCTTTCCAATCTGCTTTGGAAAGAAATAAAATTAATAATGTGCTAGTAAAGAACTCTGGAAATGGAGAAATTGCATCTGCCTGAAAAGTCAGGGAAGGACTTAACGGAGAAGACATAGCCACGAGAGGAGCTCATAAAGAGGCTTTTCGAGTAGAAAACATGGCTTGAATTAAGCTCTCAAGGCAGGAAAATACATAGTACAACTAGATAAAGGGGAGAAACCCAATCTGACAGGTAGATTAATGTACAAATGGAGGAGGAATAAGAATAATGTTAAGGTCAGCTATGGCAAGGATAAATGTCCATCTGTACTTAGGTGCACATGATTAATAACAGCTTAAATTCCTTTCTGGGATATCTGCACCTTTAAAAAAAAGATCAAATCTGGCTTGGTGGCACATGCCTGTAATCCCAGCTGCTCTGGAGGCTAAGGAAGGAGAATCACAAGTTCAAAGCCAGTCTCAGCAACTTAGAGAGGTCCTAAGCAACTCAGTGAGACCCTGTCTCCAAATAAAAAATTTAAAAGGGCTGGGAATGTGGCTCATTGGTTAAGCACTCCTGGGTTCAATCCCCGGAGAGGCAAAAGAGCAACTGCAGTTAATGCACACTACRGATGGACTGGCGTATACTGGAACAGCTACAGGTGGGAGCAGGTGGTCACTTATGACCTCTGAGTCCCACYTAGTGGGAAGGCTGTTTATTTAATAACTCATGAGGCTGATTCTCTTCCCTGGTCACTGACTGAAACCATTCTATGCTAGGAAAGAATAATAATTTAAGGAACACTTATGGCAACCATTTAAACCATGTACTGAAGGTCATTTATTCAATATTCACAGTAATTATTATCTCCATGTCAAGAAAAAGAAATGAGACTCTGAGAAAGAAAATTTCTTCCAGAAGTTAAATCAAGGACTTACAACCAAGGACTGGCAGTGAGGATGAACCCAAGCCTCTGATTCAGAACTGACAGCTGATCTCCCAGCTACTAYATGCCTCCTACCAATACCCTCCCACATCTTCTTCTACCCCTTTCTCCAGTGAATAGGAGTAGTTTCCCATTCCACCCTCACACCTCGCTTACCTGAAAAATGGTGTCAAGATTTTCCAAATGTGGGTCTTTTACCACCAAAATCTGGAGCATCTCGGAGAATGCCTGGAATGTTTGCCTGTAGAGACACTGAACAGGGAAAGGATCAGAGATTGCCCTCCCCATGAAGTTCCCCAAGCTCTGTACACTTAAGACTTTCCTCAAAGGTGCAAACTCTGGTAAAAGTACCTGTAGACAGTTTGTGGCATGAGATGAACCAGAATAAATCTTCATTTCAAATGGATGCCTCAGCATTACTAGGACCACGATCATCTGATTCTAACTACATCTGGGGAACTACTTCAGGGTCCTCAAGATACAGGTGACTCTTTCTGACATCTTGAAACACAGGAATCTTGAAATCTTCTTAGGTAACTGCTTGACCAGTCAGTGTAGCAGCCACAGAAGAAAATCATGGACTTTACACTTACCCTCCCACTTCCAGGAGGCTCCCCTCTCTCCTCCTTCAATTCTCACTCTTATCTGGAAGGTTTTCCCTGACCACCCTAAGTAAAAAAGCCCTGTGCCTCTCAACCATGGCACCTTTCTTCCTCTTTCTCTGCCTCCCCCCTCTTTTTTTTGTCACTAACACTTAACTTGCCAGTAGACACACTTATCCTTCAAGGGTTTACTAGAATGTAAGCTCCACTTTGTATTTCCATTGCCTATCACAATGCTTAGCACACAGTGGTCCACAAATATAAATATGTGCACAAGTATGCCCACCTTATTTTTTTGTTTTGTTTTGTTTTGTTTTTTAGTTGCAGATATACACATACCTTTATTTTACTTATTTATCTTTATGTGGTGCTGAGGATCAAACCCAGTGCCTCATTCATGCTAGGCAAGTACTCTTCCACTAAGCTACAACCCTAGCCCCATTTCCACCTTATTTTAAAGTCAAAAAGAAATAAAGGAGGAGTGAAGGGAAAAATGAGAGAACAAAAAGTTAAGGGAAGACAAGCTATCATCTAATCCAACCAACTGTTTTATTCACTGGACTTGATTAAATGGTTTTTGGCTAGTTTYAAACAACTGAATGTTCTCAAAGGGCTGAGACCTTTAGTATCTTCCCTTGATGGGAAGTTATTAAAGCAAAGCCTGAGTTACCTCTGTGTCGTAGGGCCCACTGGGAGTGATTTCCTGCAGCTGGGTAAGAGTCTTTAGCGGGGGCAGAGTGATCATACTTCTGGTGATAAGCTGGAACAAGTCAGCTCGATCTTCAGAGCCAAACAGCAAATGGACGTTGTGGTAACTAAGAAAAGAAAGTTTAGGAAGAGCAAGTTGGGAAGAGCGTTTGATTTGATATTGATAAACAGGGATTCAAAATAATGGGCCAGGGTTGTAGCTCAGTGGTAGAGTGCTTGCCTAACATGCACGAGGCACTGGGTTCAATCCCCAGCACCACAAAAAAAAATAAATAAATAAAATAAAGGTAATATGTCCATTTATAACTAAAAATTTAAAAAAAAATAACTAAAATGGAAAGGGTAGTTGGGTAGGTGTATCTCAAATGGAAGAGATAAGTGGCCTGGCTCATCAGTCTATTTAGATGAACTTCCCCCCAAGAAGTCACTGGAGTGGGCTGGGGATGTGGCTCAAGCGGTAGCACGCTYGCCTGGCATGCGTGCAGCCCGGGTTCGATCCTCAGCACCATATACAAACAAGGATGTTGTGTCCGCCAAAAACTAAAAAAATAAATAAATATTAAAAATTAAAAAAAAAAAAAGAAGTCACTGGAGTGACATCCCTTCAGGCTGTCCTCGAGCTCAGCCACAAGAGTAAAGCCTRCTACAGTCACTGTAGCAAGATGCCACTTTCCAAAATATGTTCTGATGAATACTAGTTTGGGGAATAGTGAGTTGAATTAAGTTAACCATGGAGCAGAGCATRGTGGTGTATGCATGCAATACCAGCAACCTGGCTGAGGCAGGAGAATTACAGGTTTGAGGTCAGCCTCAATGACTTCATGAAAGCCTGTCTCAAAAATAAAAAGATCTGGAGGTGTAGGTCAGTGGTAGAGCACCCCTGGGTTCAATCCCCAGTACCACAAAAACAAAAACAAGGAAACTCTTTTTTTTTTTTTTTTCCTTTTTGGTACTGGGGATTGAACCCAGGGGCACTCGACTACTGAGCCATATCCTCAGCCCTATTCTGTATTTTATTTAGAGACAGGGTCTCACTGAGTTGCTTAGCATCTTGCTGTTGCTGAGGCTGGCTTTGAACTCACAATCCTGTCTCAGCCTCCCGAGCTGCTGGGATTACAGTTATGTGCCACTGCACCCTGTGAGGAAACTTTTTAAACTACAGGACATTTCAGTCCTTTAATCATTTTAATCACTGCAGTTTAAACCTCCAAGACAGGTAGACATCAGGCAGCCCTTGCAACAACCTCTTAGACCTTAGAAGTTACAGTCATGAAACATGTATTGTGGGTCACTCTCCACCGAATATACTTTGGACAAAACTGAATTCTAAAAAGGTTCCAACTAGGTCCTTCAGATGTGGATGGTAGTGTACATGAAATCAAAGTTCTTATACAAAAGTATGGGTCTCGGGGGCTGCAGCTKCGGCTCAGTGGCAGAGCGCTTGCCTAGCATGTGTGAGGCACTGGGTTTGATCTGTAGCACCACGTAAAAATAAACAAATAAAATAAATGCATGCTGTCCATCTACAACTAGAGAAAATTTTAGAAAAAAATCAAAAAGCATGGGTTTGTCTTCCTTCCCAGTATCTAAACAGTTTTCAAATGTTAAAATATGAAACATGTCAGTGGACTCTGGCATTGTAAGGAACCAGGATGTATGTGTAAAGTGCACGAGGGTATCACCTGAGGTTAGCAATAGTAACAAAGACTTCCTGGCGCACGGGGCTGAACAGAGATCGCAGGGGCTCCTCTTGTACCAGGTCCTGCAGGGAGAGGTAAAGAACTTTAGAGGGACAAGAATGTTCCAACTCCTGAGGCCAGAGATGGTCAGAGGCACAAGTGGMCGGCAAGGACAGCAGCAGGCTTTTCTGGGCCCTGCTCTGGGCTCCTAGGACTGGTGGCAGGACAGTGAAGGAGCTAGGAGTTCATACTCTGGATCAGACCCCAGACCATGGTTCTGCCTCTTACTAGCTGTTTTAGTTGTCAAGTTATTGATCCTCCCTGTACCTCCATTCCTCATCTGTAGAATGAGATATAATACTACTTAGCTCTATGGAGATGGCTGAGTACTGAACAAGCAAACCTAGTAGCCCTCAATAAATGTTAGTATCTATTATTCAGTATTTTTTTAAACCAGAGATAATTTCTGGTGTAGGCATTCTAATTCTATTAAACCAGTTGTCTCTACTACCAGGTCTAAAATCATTCTGAGTTTCTTGTCCTGGAAAAGGAAATGACTTTTGGTTTGCAATTTGACAGAGGAAGAGTTGCCTTGCTATGCTGGGAAAATCTGCAGTGATAGAGAGGGAACAAAGAGAGCTTGGGGAGCTCGATGGCCCGATGGTCTGAGTTCTGGCTCTGCCCCTTACCACGTGACCCTGGGTGTATCATACAATTTTCCTATGTCTGAGTTCCTCATCTGTGTGGGAGAATTGAGACATATCTCAGGGAGTGAATATGAGCAGCTACCATACAAATAATGTTGATGTRAATGTTGTGGAAATCTTACTGGACTGTCTACCCTGCTTCTCTGGAAACTTCTCTAGTCCCTAGCCAACAACTGTGTTGTTTCTGAGTTATTTTGTTCTCCCAGCCACAGCTTATCTGTCCAGAAGTGGACACCAAAACCAAATAGATTCTTATAGGCATCTGGAATTGGGACCAAGAGTGTCAGCTTGGTGTGGTGGCGCACACCTGTAATCCCAATGGCTTGGGAGGCTGAGGCAGGAGGATCACATGTTCAAGGCCAGTAGGTGCAATTTAGTGAGACCCTGACTCAAAGTGAAAAATAAAAAGGGCTGGGGATGTAGCTCAGTGGTTAAGTGCCCCTAGGTTCAATCCCTAGTACCAAAAAAAAAAAAAGGCTTATTATGTTATTTGTTCATAATTAATTATGGAAGCCACTACAGGGATTCAGAAGTAAGTGCCTATTTTTTGTTTGTGAAGTATTTGTGCAGCAGGAACCTCTTGGACTTACTGCTCAGATGACAGCAATGTCCCCAACTGTCTGGGCAGGTCACCAGTACACAAGCAGGAATCCCAGCAGTCATATCACCACTATGTGATCTGTCAGACACACCTAATTGATGCAGGTGAATAACCCCATCTGGGCCAATCAGATTCTCTCTTGCAAAATTTGGAATTTTAGAGTGAAAGACACAGACCAGGAGCTGCTAGAGATTTTAGTCATAGTGTCAGAAAAGCAGTCCCTGCCTTTGAAACACTGGAAGCTGTCCTAGAACTTGCTCTTCTGGAGGCTGGATTATTATACCCCTTCCTTAGATTCTAAGAGAGAGAGATCRCAGCATCTTTTTGGTTTTGCTTTTTATTTGTTTATTTAGTTTAAAAATATCTTTATTTATTGATTTTTATGTGGTGCTGAGGATCGAACTTAGTGCCTCACACGTGCAAGGCAGGTGCTCTACCACTGAGCTACAGCCCCAGCCCCATTTGCTTTTTAAACTTAAGTGAGCCAGAGCTGATTTTTGTTACTTGCTCCAAGAAGAATCTTACTAAATTTTAACAAGAAGAGTCATTTTTTACTCCAACTTATTAATGAAAGCCAGACAGATATTAACATCTCCATTTAATAGGTGGCACTACTAAGATTTAGAGAAGTTGTGTGCTTTGTTTAAGGTAGGCAGGGTTTTGTGGAAGACCCAAGATGCAGAATAAGAATGAAGTCACAAGGAACAGTGGCATGATCCCAGCGATTTGTGAGGCTTAGGCAAGAGAATTGTAAGTTCAAGACCAACCTCAGCAATTTAGCAAGGCCCTAAGGACTTTGTGAGACTGTCTCAAAAAAAGRAGCTAGGTGCTGTGGTGTTGGGAGCTGCCACATAGGAAATGAGCGCCCCTTAGCCTTGAGAGATGAGAATGTGGAGATGTGGCAAGCCTGCCGTGGGTGTGGTGTGTGTGTGAACGATGAGCACTGAGCGCACAGGGCAGACTGAACTCATGTTGCCCCTCTGTTTGGGCGGGTCTCACTCTGGTCTTTTTGAAAAACTTGCTCTGCCGTGACCCCCACACAGCTCATGAGATGGGCATGGCCTCCTTAGATGTCAATCAATCTGCTGATATCAGACATCATGAAGCTAGACTCAACCCCCTGAAACTGACCCCTTGCTTCATTTGAATGGCTTTTCCCCAATAAAAGGGTTGAGAGAACCTGCGTGCTCTCTTTCCAAGGACCCCTATGGTTAGAGGAGCCATCACAGGACCCAATAAAACGGTATTTCTCTGTCTCTGTGTGGTTATTTCATGCAGCCCAGTTCATCTGGAGTTACCCTGAGTGTTTTAGTCATGAGACACGACACCATGGTGCATGCCTGTAATCCCAGGGGCTTGGGAGACTGAGGTAGGAGGATCTTGAGTTCAAAGCCAGTCTCAGCAATAGCGAGACACTAAGCAACTCAGTGAGACTCTTTCTCTAAATAAAATACTAAATAGGGCTGGGAATGTGACTCAGTGGTTGAGTGCCCCTGAGTTCAATCCCCAGTACCAAAAATCAATCAATCAATAAATAAATAAATAAGGGCTGGGGAGTATTGCTTAGTGGTTAACCAACCCTGGGTTCAATCCCTGGTTAAAGAAAGGAAGGAAGGAAAGAAGGAAGGAAGGGAAAGGAAAGGAGGGAGGGAGGGAGAAAGGAGGAAGAAAGAAAAAGAATGAAGATGGAGTCCAAGCTGGCAAAGAATTAAGAGGCTCTAAGAATTAGACTTGGTTACATTAAAATTTGGTTACAACAGGTCTTGATGTCTGTTGATTTTCACTAAAAACCATTCCTCTGGCTGGGTGTGGTGGTGCCTGTCTGTAATCCCAGCAGCTCAGGAGGCTGAGACAAGAAGATCCAGAGTTCAAAGACAGCCTCAATTTAGGGAAGCCCTAAGCAACTTATCAAGACCCTGTCTCAATATAAAATATAAAAGGGGCTGGGGATGTGGCTCAGTGGTTAAGCATCCCTGGGTTCACTTCCCCAGTACAAAAATAAACAAACAAAAAATCCATTTGTCTGGCCATTCTACCGTATAACAGCATGCAGAACGTTGGTATTGGAATAGTCAAGTAGTAATCTTTACCTTTCCATCTGAGGGCCTCATCTAGTGCCCCTTTTTTCTCTTCTCTCTCAATATTACCTACCACATCTTTCAAGGTTTAGATCAGGAGGTCTACCTGAATTAATTTTATTCCAATTCTGTCATCATTTTTTTTTTAGTTGTAGTTGGACACAATTTATTTATTTATTTATTTATTTATTTATTTATTTATTTTTATGTGGTGTTAAGATCAAACCCAGGCCCTCGCACGTGTTAGGCACGTATTCTACTGCTGAGCCACAACCCCAGCCTCTGTTATCTTTTATTTTCTACATGCTATACTATTCTCTTTTTCTTCTTTTTAATAGATTTTTTTTTGGTCTGTTTATGTTGCTGGGGATTGGACCCAGGGCCTTGCACATGCTAGGCAAGTGCTCTACCACTGAGCTAAATCCCCAGGCCTAGACTTTTTTTTTTTCAGGAAATGTTTCTTTTATTGTTGTTGTTTGTTTCTTTCTTTTTTCCAGTTTTTTAAGAGACAGGGTTTACTATTTGGCCCAGGCTGGCCCCAAACTCCTGGGCTCAAGCAATCCTCCTGCCTCAGCCCGCTGAGTAATTGGACTACAGGCACATACCACCATGCCTGGTTTCAACAGATTTTTAAAATATATTAATTTTTTGTGTGTGGCAGAAGTGTAATAAGCCGTATTTAAAGTATAGAGTTAGATGGTTTTGGGTGTTTATGACATCCATGAAATCATCCCATCCACAAAACCCTGGAGATCATAGAAATTCTGATCACTCCCGAAGTTTCCTTTGGCTACTTTGTGATTCCTACCTCCTGCTTCTCCCTACCCACTTCCACCTCTAGGTATGATTGATCTGCTGTTCCTATAGGATTGTTTGCATTTTCTAGAATTTCATATCAGTGAAATTACACAGTGTATATATATGCTTTGGGGCAGGTCTGGCTTCTTTCAGTCAGCATAATCATTCTGAGATTGATCCAAGTCATAGCATCATGTATCAACAGTTAATTTCTTTTTATTCCTGAGCAGTTCTCCATTGTAGGAATTGGCACAATCTGTTTATCAGTTCATCTGTTGATGGACATCTGGGTTCTTTCCAGTATTGGGCTCTTATATACATTTATAGACACATCTTCTTGTGGAAATATGGTTTCTTTTGCCTAAGAGTGGAACAGCTAGGTCTTACAGCAAATGTGTTTAACTTGTTAAGAAACTGCCAGACCATTTTCCAAAGTGATTGCACCATTTCACCTTCCCACTAGCAGCATGAAAGCTTCAGTTTTTCCATATCCTCAATGTCTGGTACTGCTTTTCTTTTTATTTTGGCCATTCTCGTTTTTAGTTACATCTTACTGTGATTTTTAACTTGCTTTTCCCTGATCACAATTGTGGGAAGCCGCTCTGAATGACCTTCCAGTCCTGATGCACCAGGATCTGACCAACTACTGCATTCTTTGTGGCTTGGGTGGTGATCCACCTGGATAGCAAGGCCAGTCTTCTGAGTAGGCATACCCTGGGGTTGAGCTATACTCACCTATTCTTTTGTAATCCTATCCCTTTCCCCTGTTTGGGATAGAATGTTCCATGGATACTCCCTTTATGTGTCCCCTTCTCTTGCTTTGTCTTTGGGTGTAGYCTTCCTGGATGTCAGTCAATCTGCTGACAGCAGACATCATGAAGCTAGACTCAGCCCCTTGAAACCTGACTCCTTGCCTTATTTGAATGTCTTCTTCCCTGTAAAAGGGTTCTGTGTGCTCCTCTCTCTATTTCCAAGGACCCGTAATAAGGTCGGAGGAGACATCACGGAACCCAGATTAAAAGGTATTTCTCTGTCTCTGTGTGGTTATTTTGTGGAATGACCTTGAGTGTTTGGTTGTGGAACGCGACACACAATGATGGAACTTCTTTTCATGGACTTAATCATAAATCTTCTTGGGTGATTGTCATTTGCCTTCTCTCTCACATCTCACATCCCACCCTTGGCTTCCTTGGTTGTTTTTTGTTTGGTTTTTGATTTGTTTGTTTGTTTTTGTATTGGGATTGAACCCAGGGGCGCTTTACCACTGAGCTACATCCCAGATCATTTTATGTTTGTTTTTTTTTTTTTTTTTTTTTATCTTGAGACAGGGTCTCACCAAGCTGATGAGAGCCTTGCTAAATTGGGGAGTCTGACTTTGAACTTGTGATCCTCCTATCTCAGTCTCCTAAGTTGTGGGGATCACAGGTGTGTACCACCACACTTGGCAGGTCTTTTTTTAAAAATATTTTTAGATGTAGATGGACACAATACCTTTATTTATTTATCTTTATGTGGTGCTGAGAATTGAACCCAGTGCCTCACCCGTGCTAGGTGAGTGCTCTACCACTAAGCCACAACCTCAGCACCAGGTCTTTTTTCTTTTTTTTTGAAAAGCCATGCATCAGTGGTGGCTCACAAAAAGTGGGCAAATGCCTTAATGTTATTTCTCCATAATAACTGACTTTTGCCTTCTTGGGTTCCTAGTAACACTGCTTCTTTTGATGGATGCCTCTCAGACATCAGGTGCATGCCTGTTCAGCCCTCACACACGGGCCTGCAGGAACTTTGTGGACTTGACAGTTTCGAATTTTCTCATAGTCACTAGATAACTCTAACTTACCTAGGTTGAATCCCTTGCTGACCCATACTTTGGTGGATACCTGATGTGGGTGTTACTATTGGCTAGATGGATCCACATGTACAAGATTTGGGGTAATTCAGTATGATTTTGCTGCTTGAGATTTGCAATGGTGAATTTTCTGAGCTGGCTAGTTGAACAATGTAGAATCCCACTGCTGCCAATCCTGGTGGAATAGAACTTTGGAAAGAAGCCACTTTGTTGGGTYCTATAAGTAGAAAGCTGCAGTGATTCCTAAATCTGCTCTATCATTCTATTCTTCTCGATGTATTTGGAATTATTCTCAACCTACTTACTTTTCTAAGTGTGATAATTTCCAAATGGGCTGTAAACCCTTGGAGGACAGATTAAGGTTTCCAAAATCACAGTGCACTTCACAAAACTGTTAGCCGATTACCCTTCAACTGTAAAAACTAATTATCAATCTGATCAGCCCTACAAACTTCTGGTTTGAGAAAGAACTGCTCAAATATCTGGGGCATACAAGAAACATAAGAATCGAACTTCTGAACTTTTGAGAAACTGAAAGGGGCATTTCACAGATGAGAAAACAAAGCACCAAGAAGTTATGTCATGCTGAAGTGCCTCACCTCCTTGCCCTCTGGATCCTTTAACATGGAATTGACCTCTCATTCACCCCTCTGTGCCCCAATATACCCTTTTAAAAATATATAAATTTTATATATATATATATATATATAGATATAGATATAGATATAGATATAGATATAGATATAAATTTTAGTTGTTGATGAACCTTTATGCTACTCACTTATTTATATGAGGTGCTGAGAATTGAACCCATACGTCACACAGGTGAGGCAAGCGCTGTACCACTGAGCCACAAACCCAGCCCCCCAATATTTAAATGTTTGTTGCAGTTCCTTCGACACTAGATTATACCTTGTTTGGGTGTAGGGACAGGGATTACATTCCCCCTGTCTTTGTAGCCCTAGTTCCCAGGACAGCACCTGGCGCTGTCAGGTACTAATAAGGGAACAAATGGGTGAGCTGGTGGCAGACTGTGGCTGGGGTAGGTATGAGTGAGACAGAATACAATAATGACAATAATATAATCATGTTTCTCAAATGCATAATACATGTTAAGGACCATGTTACATGGCTTATATTTATTTTAAATTTAATGTTTATAATACCTCTGTGAAGTAAATACAGCTAGTCTTATTTTCTTTATAAGAAAACTGAGTATAAAGAAATTAAGTGAATTTCCTGAGGTCACATAGCTATATAGAGACTAGCACCTGAGCCCAGGGAGTCAATTATAGATTCTGCCTCCAAACTACTGTTTAAGTAACGAGGACACAGTACCGGCCTCACTAAGAAATTTAAATGCTATTCCTCCCTTTTTTTCTCCTCTTTTAACTGGTTTTCAAAGGTGATCATATCTGTGGGGTATCTGAGTGTTTTTCCTTCATGCAGAAAGGCTGATATGAGAAGAGTTAACAGAACTGATAATATGGGTAGGACTACTAAAACTTTGTCAGCCAAGTCACTCAGTTTGTGTGATCCCAATAATTTGTGATAAGATCACAATACTTACATTTAGAATATGCACAATGTCTTCTATATGGCTAAGAATGAATGTGTCTGTGGTTTCATCATAAGGGATATTTTGGCTGAGAGAAGACAAAGATTGTAGGAATGTCAGCTTTTCCAGTTCACCCTGTATTTGTAGAAATGATAAAAATATAATTAAACACTATAGTCTTTTTTTAAGAAATTGTAGAAGGCTTTTAAATTTTTTTCTTAGGATGCTTTAAACATCTGACATCTCATTCAATCCATTTTTAGCCTTTATCACAAGGAATGAATAAATTGCTGAGGGATTTCAGTGACATTCCTTGTCCATGGGGCTCTTCTTGATCTGGGGCTTTGCCTCTCCTATGGGCTACATCAGTGTGCATTCCATAATTGTTCTCCCACCTTTGGTCTTTTCTTCCCCACCTACAATCCTGAATAGTGCTGCCAGATTAAGCTTCCAAAAGGTGACCTCTGGTGCTGCTAATTCTAGTTCTCTTGATCTCATTAAAGATTCATTATTTCAATCCTTAAGGTTTCCTATTAATATGCAAGTTCTGATTTGAAGAAAAAAACTTTTATATTGACATTATATTTTACTGATTATAAAAACAATACCTAAGAAAATGAAACACACTTGAGAAAAACCACAACCTTGAGAAAAACCCTTCCACTCTTTTTTTCCCTATGAATATGGATGGTGCAAACTGGTATGTGCCCTCTTTAACATGGAATTGAGAGCAAGTTGTAATACACAGAGAAAAAGCTGATTTCATAGCCTCATTACTTTTCACATAGATTAGTAGTCACTGAACAATGGATTCCTTTGCTTCAGTTTTGCCCCTCTCCAATCCACTCCCCCAGCTATAGCCAGACACATTTTTCTCAAGTGCATGTTTGAACAGATCAATTCCTATCTACAATCTTTTCAATTGGAGGTCAAAATCCTTCCCAATGTGATCCCAGCTGCCCTCTTTGAATCATTTCTTGCCTTGTGCTGAAGCATTCTGAGCTCTAGTCAAATTAACCTTCACGCAGCCCTTTTTTGCTTCCAGGCCTTTGTACCTTCAGACTTCTCTACACTTCTTGCTTACTGACTAAAATATATTAAAATATAATATTTTGCAACTTGGGTTATGCTTTTCTCCCGGAGAAGAATCAGGAACACTTCCTAAGTGCATCCACACACCACATGAGTACACAGCTACCATGGTATTTGTGATATGCTGATATAATTACATTATTCATCTATTCCCCTGTTAAGATAATGAATTATGTTTTCATTCATTGCAGCAATCCAAGTTCTTTATTAATTACAAAGAAATCTTTTCTAAAGACTTCCTAACATGAAATATAAAGAACTGGTCTKCTGGCCATTGTGGTGCACACCTGCAATCCCAGCAACTTGGAAGGCCAAGGCAAGAGAGTGCAAGTACAAGACCAGTCTCAGCAATTTAGCAAGGCCCTAAGTAAGCACCTTTGAGAGACCCTGTCTCAAAATAAAAAGGGTTGGGGCTGGGCATAGTGGCACATAGTGGCCGTGATTCCAAAGACTAGAGAGGCTGAAGTAGGAGGAGCGCAAGTTCAAAGACAGCCTCAGCAACTTAGTGAGACCATGTCTCAAAATTAAAGAAAAAAAAGATAATGAAAATAAAGGGCTGGGGATATGGCTCAGTGGTCAAGTACCTCTGGGTTCATTCCCTTGTACTGAAAAAAAAAAAAAAAAAGAAAGGAATTGGTTCAAGTCAAGCATAGTGGTGCACATCTGTAGTCCCACCCAAGGGAGGCAAAGGGGGAAACCTACAACCTTTGTACCCTTGTACAACTGGGCTGCGAACTGGGCCCACTGAGCTGACCGTACATACTTTTTTAAAATAAAGCAATTTACCCACATCCCTTCCTGGCTTAAATCAACAGGATATGTTACATTCCTCAACCAACAACCCGCTATCTACAGGAGAAATGTAGACCCCAAATGCCAATAAGAGCACAAGTTACCCTGAAGAGGGCACTTTTATGACCCTTACATAGACCAGATCCCAGAACTCAGGGAGATAAGAATAATTCTCCCTAACCATAAAATCTAATTTCATTAGAACTGATCAGCATTGGCCAAAGTGACCTAGAGCTGTCCTGGGGATTTGAAAGTCTAATGTCATCCTCTGTTGGTCAAAAGTTAAGAGGTGAACCTGGGCAGAGCTCTCTGGAAACTTCTCCGAGACCCATAATAAACTGGAGTAAAGGAGGGGCATGCCATCCTTCTCCTCCCTTTTCTCTTTTCCTATCCTTTCTAATAAATCCATGCCTATTACTCTGAGCAACATGTCTGAAATCCTTCTGAGTCACCATCATAAGAACTGGTGAGAAAGGACTGCTATGGCTGGCTGCCTCAGCCCCATGGCAGTGATGTGATGTTTTGTTTTTCTCCTTAAGTATCATGCAACAAAATAGACCTTTTAGAGATGGAAGGTATGCTTCTATGAATTCTAACACGTGTGGCGAGCTAGCCATGGGCTGTGTGTGTGAACCATGAGCATGAGCACATGAGTGGGATGGGCTGATGACRTATATGTCCTTTTCCTACGCTCTGCTTGTGACGCCCACACAACACCTGAGATGGGTGTGGCCTTCCAAGATGTCAGTCAATCTGCTGACCACAAGACATCAGAAGCTAGACTCAACCCTCTGAAACCTGACCCCCCCCAATGGGGTAGAACTTTCTTGAGTGTCTTCCCCTCAATAAAAAGGGGCTTCAGAACGCTCTGGCTTTTTTTTCTGCCTCCCTTGTGGGAGCTAGGGCAGAGGAGCCGTTGCTGAAGAACCCCCAAGACAAAGGTATTTTCTCTTCTTAGTGTGGTTATTTTGTGCCAACCCAAATTTCACCTGGAGTGACCCTGAATGACTTAGTTGCATGTAGTGACACACATGCACACACACTACCACCACCACCATCAGGATRCAGTTCCCTCACCCCCTCAGATTTCCCAAATGCCATTCCTTTAGAGTCACAGTCTCTCCCGTCCCTGTTGTGGGAAGCACTGATGGGTTTTCCATCACATAATTGGAATCATATGGCATGAAATCTTTTGTGATTGACTTCTTTTATTCAGCACAATGCCTTTGAGACTCGTGTAGATTGTTGTAGGTATCAATAGTTTATTCTTTCTATTGCTGAGTACCAGTTTGTATTTCATTTTAGTTTGTTGACCTGTGAAGAAACTTTTAATCTTACCAGTTTGTAACCAGGGTCTTGTACAATGTCTTATAAATGATAGGTGCACAATCCTTTTCTGTTGAATGGGATTTTAAAGCCCTGGTACAGGAGGGGAAATCACTGGAAACACTAACTAGAAAGAAGTTATGGTAATAATTGTTTCCCATGAAGGTCTAGGCCACTCAAGTTACCACATAGTAGGATGAGGGATGTTAAGATACAGAAATAAAACAAAAGCATACTTTTTAACAATTAAACTGAATAAAGATTAAAAACAAATGCAAAAAATACTGATTTTGGACATCTCCAAGCAATTGAAATTTAATATATTTTGCTGGTGAGAGTCTAAATGGGCTTAACATTCTTGGGGGATTTTTATTTTTTCAGTCCTAGAGACTGAACCCAGGGGTACTTTATCACTGAGCTACATCCCCAGTCCTTTTTAGTTTTTATTTTTTTAATATTTGTTTTTTTTAGTTGTAGTTGGACACAATACCATATTTTATTTATTTTTATGTGGTGCTGAGGATCGACACAGGGCCTCACACATGCTAGGTGAGTACTCTACCACTGAGCCACAATCTCAGTCCCCTTTTTATTTTTTAAGACAGGGCCTTGCTAAAAATTGCCCAAGTTTGAGGCTCGCCTCAAATTTATAATCCTTCTGCTTCAGCCTTCCATGTAGCAGGGATTACAGGTGTGAGCCACCACTCTCTGCCTTGGAGTTTAGTGTAACAGTATCCATTAAAAGCTTTAAAAAAGTACATATTCCAGGCTGGCGCTGTGGCTCAGTGGTATAGAGCTTGCCTAGCATGTGTGAGGCACTGGGTTTGATTCTTAGTACCACATATAAATAAACAAAATAAAGATCCATTGACAACTAAAAAATACAGTTTTTTAAAAAAGTACATACTCTTTTTTTAAGTTATGCATTTTTTAGGTGTCAATGGACCTTTATTTTTATTATTTTTATGTATGTGGTGCTGAGAATCGAACCGAGTGCCTCACACTTGCTAGGCAAGCACTCTACCACTGAGCCACAACCTCAGCCCAAAGTACATACTGTTTGATTTATAAATGCCACATCTAGGACATCTAGGAATGATCATAAGGGAATTATCTAAGGGGTACACAGAAACCCACAACATAATAATAGTTGTCAAAGAATTGCAATAATTAAAAAATGGCAAAAACCTAAATGACTAACAACAGGGTACCTTACAGTAAATTAGGACATAATTTCCTTATATACTTCTTATTTATTTAATCATTAGGGTAACAATCAAAATTCTTTTTTTATTTATAAAAAATTTTTTTAGTTGTAGATGGACACAATGTCTTTGTTTTATTTATTTATTTATTTTTGTATCTGGTGCTGAGGATTTTTTTTCTTTTTAAGAGAGAGAGAGAGAGAGAGAGAGAGAATTTTTAAATATTTATTCTTTTTTAAGTTTTTGGCGGACACAACATCTTTGTTTGTATGTGGTGCTGAGGATGGAATCTGGGCCGCACGCATGCCAGGCGAGTGCGCTACCGCTTGAGCCACAWCCCCAGCCCAAGATCAAAATTCTTTACGCTGGTTTTCAAGACCCAGCACCATCTGCCTCTGCCCTTGTCTTCGGCCTCACCTTGCATTGCTGTCCCTCTCAGCATGATTTAAGCATAGACTGAGGCTTGAGTGCCTCAAACATGCTCTGCTTCTTTCAGCCACAAGGTAGTTAACATATCATTTTCTACTTCTGGAACAGGCCCCTAAATCTAACCTCTAGTTTCTCTTACTTACTGCTCAGATCTGAGCTCTAGGTTCCCTCCTCAGAGTCCTTCCTGTTCTCATGGGATGCATGAAGGAACGAATGAACACCACCTAAGCCCTGCATGCTGTGTGGCCAGTAAGTAGGATCATATAGATCTGTATATTGAATTAGAATTTTTTTTCTCCCATCATATATAATTAGGGAAGATTAACTTTTAATTTTTGTTATGGTTTCCTTTGTTTTCATATGGATTTTATATTCTTGTAAGGATGAATTATAAATATAAATAAATAYAAGTTATAAATATAAAATATAAAAGCATAAGTAAATTTTCTAACCTATATAATCTTCATATAATAAGAAACAACACATGTTCAAAATATCTGTTAACGTGGAGGAATTCATTGGCTAACTTGTACAGATTGTTGTGCATACCTTTAAGGGATGACCACCAATCACCTCCTGGATGGACTGGATCAGTCTCTGAACATTGGCCTCACTGAGGGGCCCCTCGTAGGCCAGCTGTCTGAAGCTATCTGTGAGGCACTCCCTCTCTGTGAGGGACTCCAGAGGGAGTCCGGGAATGTCAGGGATGTCCAAGTCTAATACCAAAAGAAAGACACCAAATGACGCTTCCATATCATGTCAAGTGCTATGGCTTAATAGGGAGAATCACTGGGCATCAGGACACACAGTTTTCCTGCTTGCTTAAAAAAGTACCTGTGTGYTCTTAAAAAAGTACTCTGTGACCCAGACCAAATCCATTCCCTTCCCCAAGCTTCAATTTTCTCAATTACAAATTTAATGCTCTCCAAGGCTGCCTAAGCTAAAGACCTCWGGGACTCAGCTGTAAAAGAATAAAGAACATGAATTCAAATCTGTTTGCGACTACTATGAATCCTGGCTCTACCATGAATTGGGTTATTAGAAGGATTAAATGAGGCAATGAATGCAAAGAACAGAATGCTAGCATTTGACACATGGTGGGATCTTAGTGGTAGATTTTTTCTTTTTTCTTTTTGGTGCTGGGGATTGAATCCAAGGCCCTGCACATGTTAAGACCACACTCTACCATTGAGCTATTATTCAAAAATTTTAAAAATAATCTATGACTCTGAAGTAACAAGAGTATAATATGCAGTGGTGGCTCTTGTGTCAATACTCATTTCTTTCCACTGGGCCAGGCTGCAGTGAACCCTGGGGTGTCTCCTTCTCCACCTRGAATGTGCTCTGGTGAGGACATGGACTTCAGAGCTGGTTTGCCTAGGCTCAGTTCCTTTCTACCATTCTGCCCTATGTGACCTCTGTTTCTCTAGCCCAATTTCGTCATTCCCCAAATGGGATGATAATAGAACTTACCTCATGTGGCTGATATAGAGCTAGCACCAAGAAGTATCAGCAAATATAATTCCTTTGCTCTCTAAGTGACAGTGATGATAATACATCATTTTCCTATTCGTGCTTTTTTATATCTTTACCTCCTCTGTATCCACCATGAAATCCCTTATTCCTATTGGGCTAACAGTCTTACTATTGTGGTTTTTGTTTTTGCAGTACTGGGGATTGAACCCAGGGCTACCCTATCATTAAGCTACATCGCCACCCTTTTTTATTTTATTTTTTAATTTTGAGACAGGGTTTCGMTAAGTTACTGAGGCTGGCCTCAAACTTACTATCCTCCTTCTTCAGCTTCTAGAGTAGCTCGGAATGCAAGCGTAGCTGGGATTACAGGCAGGCACCACCATCCTGGCTCCTACTTGCATATTCTTTTTTTCTCTGCTGAATGCCTCTTCTGCAAACTCCTCGCACTCCCTACCACATTCTTTTCATCTCCTAACTGCAGTGATTAAGCCATGCTTTCATTCACTCCTGATCTTTGCCTAGGTTGCTCCTTCTGCCTGCATTTTCTGCCCTTCCCTTTACCTCTCTCTGCCTTGCTAACTCCTACTCAYTTCTCAGATCTCAGCTCCAGGATGCCTGTCCTGAATTCCTTTTTTGCCCATGTTGGCCAAGTATCCTCCTAGCCACTAATAACCCTCTTTATTTCCAATCTGACCTCCAGTCCCCATCACATGGATGACACTGAGTTCCAACTACCTGTTCATCTACAAGTGTGAATGTATTTCCTCAAACACATCAAGGTCTTTCTTGGCTCATGTGCATGAAGCTCAATCTATCTAAAATGCTCCTCCCTCCACTTCTCGCATGGGTCACCCTTTCACCTATCTTAAGGCCTCCTTTAGGGTTGAAAGCACCACCTCCTACAGGCGTTTGCCAACAACCATAGTTTAAAGTAGGTCTCCATCTCCCTTACTTTTTCTCAACCTCTTGTTTAATTTTTCTATAGTGCTTACTACAACTTATTTTTTAAGAAAGATTTTTTTTAGTTGTCTATGGGCCTTTATTTTATTTATTTATATGCGGTGCTRAGATTTAAACCTAGTGCCTCACACATGCCAGGCAAGTGCTCTACCACTGAGCCACAACCCCAGCCCCTTACTACAACTTTTAATCATGTAGTTACTGTCTATTTACTTTTTTGGGTCTCTCTTCTGTGCTGTCACAGATCTATAAGGGCAGGACCACAACAGATATGGTCACTCCATGGCCAGCACCTGATACTCAATAAATGTTTGCAGGATAAATAAAAAAGACAGTTATTCTGCAGATCCCACCATCTGCATGGTCTTCTCACTCTATGTCAACCCAGACCAACATTTCCCTTCCAGAATCMCTCTGGTACTCACACTCTGCTTCCGAGTCTGAAGAACTATCTGGTCAGGATCAAGTTTAGTTTCCTGTGTGTCTAGAATAATGTATCTTATTTTATTTTGCCATATTCTGAAGTCTCAAAGTCAGGGATCACTGTCAAAGGCTAGTCAAGGGTTGATTATCCAGCAAGTATTCAATCACTATCTCTTGAAATGACTTAAACAGAGAAGGCTGGGGTCTAGATCAGTGTTTAGCATGATGAGGTTCTGGGTTTGATCCTCAGCTCTGCGAGGTGTGGGGGAAGAGAGAGAGAGAAAGGGAAAGATATTGATTGATTCCCACCCCCAGTTCTGTCCTTATACAATCCTTTCCATTTCACCTGTAAATTCAATGCTACTTTCGCCTTTTTTAATATCATCTAAGTTGCTCAGCTGCAAATCCACACTTCCTGAGTCATTGTCAGAAGCACAGGGGATCACTACCTCTTCTTGACTGAAGAACCTAAGAATGAAGAGGAGATAGGAAAAATTAAGTTTTTCAGAACTGCTTCTCTCTCACCCTTCAATTGGAAGCCTAAATGTCCCTCCCAGAGAGGCATTTATTGATCATCGATCTAGATTAGGTAGCCTCTCCACCCCAGTCCACAGTTGTTCTTTTTATTGCAGTATTTAATTATCATCAACAACTATCTTGTTCATTTGGGTTCATTGTTTGTGTCCTATCAGACTATACACTGTATTAGTGGAGAAACCTTGTCTACATGGTCATACTTGTATCTCTAGCACCTATAATACTGGCAGCCTCATGGGGACTGAATGGATAGTGAGAAACAAAATATACTACTGTGAGAAGCTGCCTCAATCCCCCTTACCCTTGTCTACTTTTACTCTTTTCCATAACACATAATACCTTCTACCATATCATTTTTTATTTATTATTGGTGCTAGGGATAAAACCCAGGGTCTGGCACATGCTAAGCATGTGCTCTACCATGGAGCTATATCCCTAGCCCAATTCAGTTAGTTATGATGTTCATTGTTTGTCATCTATTTCTTCCTTTTACAATGTAAGCTTCAGTCCTTGGTGCAGTGGTGCTAGCCTGTAATCCCAGTGACTTGGGAGGCTGAGGCAGGAGGCTTGCAAATTTGAGGGCAGGCTTAGCTAATACAGTGAATGGCTGAATAGATTTATATTCACTGAATGTTTAACACAGATGAATGAGCGAAAACGCATTGCCTTTTGTTCTTGTTTTTTATATTGGCATGAATATTAAATGTTGACAAAGATGTGTAGCAAAAACCTATGAATTGCAGTTGGAAATGTGAATTGGTACAATTAGTTTGGAAATACTCTGGCATTATCTATAGTTGAAAGATGTACATATACTAGTCACTATTCTACTCTTATCAATATATTTTCAAAGAAACTCTTACACATCTCTACCAGGAATATGTATAAAATTTTTGCAATAGCAATTATGGTTTAAAAAATGGAGTCATCTTAAGGTCTAGAACAGATAAACTGTGGTATGTTCATCCAATGAAGTTCAACATAGCATGATAATGAATGAGTTCTAGCTATGTGCAACAAAACAGATAAATCTCATAATGTTGGCAGAAAAAAGAAAGTCACAGGGAAAATATGCAAAAAAATCCATTCATACAATAAGAAATATGCAAAACTAAACAAATGCTTCTTGGTATTATAAATGTATATGACAAAACTACAAAGAAAAACAAGGAAACAATGTAAACTTCGGGATGGGACTCTCTTAGAGAGGACAGGTAGGGATRGAATGGGTAGGGTCAGAAAGAAGACTTCAAAGTCATGGTCCTGTTCGTTTAGGACAGAATTACTGGTGCACTGTTTCACTGTATCATTCTTTCCTTCATGTATGTTTTATAAATATTTAGTCAATATTAAAAGACTTTTGGGAAAAGCCCAAACGAATACAGTTTTAGCTTTATCGTGTGCATATATATGTCTTCAACAATAGTAACTAATTAAAACCAAACCAACCCTCTAGAACAGTTGGGTTCTATTGTAGGTTGTATAAATGACATTTTAAGAAGCTGCCAATTTTTTTCCAAAACGGCAGTACAAGTTTCCATTTCCACTAGAAGTATATGTTCCTCTACATTCTTGCCAACATTTGAAATTGTATGTCTTTTTTATATTAACTATTTCAGTGATATCTCTTTGTGGTTTTTCAATGATGTTGACCATGCAGTTATTTTTTATTTGTTTATCTTTTTTTCGTTGAAGGGCTTCTTAAAACTTTTGCCTCTGTTTATTGTTCGCAGTGGCATGCTGGTAAATATTCATAATAATTAAAAGCAGATTTTGGAGTCGGGCTGACTCTGTTTCCCTTTAAAATTGTAAACAGAAAGATGACAAGGAATAAATGAGATAATGTATGTAGAGTGCTTAGTACACCGTCAGGCTGTATTGTAAACCCTCGATAATTGGAGTTAGGTATTAGTACTGTTCTTGGATAAGTCACTTCCATGTTTGAGTCGGTCAGATCTTTAAAATTGGGCTAATACGCCCCTCAGTTACTGAGAGGAGTCACTGATCGGTCTTGCAACTAAAACTTCACTGGGATCAGTTATTAACAAGCAAAGTGGCCATCTTCGAAAGAAAATGCCAATAATTTTCTAAAGAAATACAAAACCCCTTGAATATTTCTCTTCCACTGGACCCTTCCGTTCCTTTAAAGTCGGCCGGGCTGCAGACAGACCAGGGAGTGACAGAGCAGTTGGCCAACCACGGCGATTGGCCAATCCGAGGCGGCCCCGTCTTGGGCCCACCCCGAGGCCTGGTCCAACCGCGTCCGGGTAGCGCCCCGAGTGAGACCGTTGCGAGACGGCCGGTTCCAAGTGCGCCACGGCGCGGGGGGGAGGCGGGCCCGCACGCCGGAACCCAGAGGCCTCCTGGGCACGAGGATTGGAATCCGCAGCGCGGCTGCTGCGAGCGGCCGGGCCCAGCGGGACCGCGGAAGACTGACCTGTGCCTAGAGCCCATCCCAGCAAGCAAAGCCTGCCGCGAATCCCTGGCGTCCCCTCCGGCGCGCTCTTGGAGCCACTTTTCCGAGCGGAAGTCAGCCTGCTGCTCGGGCTCCGGTGTGACCTGCTCGGAGGAATGGCGCCGCCGGGTGAGGCGTTGCGCATGGCTCAATAACTGGGTTCCGCGGCCGGCACGCCTAGGGGAGTGGGCTCTGGCCCGCGGGAGGCTAGTGCCGGCCACTCGGGAGCCGGCTAGGCGGGATTCCCTCCCCCGGCGGGGCAGGGGCATGGGCTCCAGCTCTTTCGGTGGCGAGGGTCTGACCGAAGGCAGCGAGCTGGTGCCAGTGCCCGAGACTAGTTGGGGGTTGGTGGGGGTGGGGTGGGGTGCATCGCGGAACTACGGGTCCCCGCGAAGACCAGCCTGTGGGTGGGCGAATTGCGGCCGCGCTTAACCCAGGCCTGGCTTCCCCCATTCATTTGACAAGTGCGGGCGGCCTAAGACCTGTCCCTGCTCGCCGCGGGCCACTTCTTGTTTCTTGTGAGCCTTTGAGCAAGCTGCCCATCCTTTGGGCCATAGTTTACTCTTCAGTGACAAGGACAAGAGAATCACTCCTCAGCTCTCTCTGGGAGCTTAGAGTCTAGGTTCTCAAGTTCTACTCTGGGCGCAAACTTGCAGTCTGCCACGTATTCTTTATATGACCTAGAGCCAGTTACTTGAGTACACTGCACCTCAGTTTCTCATCTGTAAGATAAGTACTTTATTCGCTTCATAGAGTTGCTGCATTAAGTAAGATAATCTCGTGTATTTTAGAACAGCTCATGACACTAAGTTAGTACTCAGTAAAGTTTACTGCTTTGGTGGTAACTGAGTGGACACAGCAGGATGGACTCCACAGCTCCTGTGTGTGTGCTCTTGTTATTCCCGCAGGACACAGGCTGGAATCCTAGAGAGAAGGGAAATAACTTACTCAAGGTAACATTAATCAGCTCTGTGTTTAACTAAAAAGTAGTGGATACTATAATGGTCAAAGCCATAATTTGGATTCAAACTGCCTGTGGTATGATTCTCAGTTCCTTATATGACTTAGGGCAGGTGCAGGTAAGCACTTCTGAAGCTCAATTTCTTGGTCTGTAAAAGGCAGTAAATAGCCACCTCACTTGGTTGTTGTGAGGATTTAATGTCTCAGTTCATACAAGGTACTCAGTGTAGTTTGAGCCTTCCCTGACATGTTACAGTGTCAAGTTTTAGCCAAATAGTTATTGCTATCAAGGTGGGAAGATGAGGGTCTGATGCAGATGCTGTGCTAGGGGAATTTACAGTTTAGTTGGGAATATTCTAGTGATAGCAGTCCACTACAGATTGCAGTGTTGAGTGCCTGCATGTACACTAGGCATTGGAGATTCAGCAGTAGTACCTCGAMTCCTCTTTTCTCTTGCATCTTTTTGTCCAGTAGCAATCTGATAGGCTTTAACTTTGAATTCTAGCTAGACACTGGCCACTTGTTACCACCTCTGCTGCTGTTGCCCAGGATTGGACCACCCTGATCTGTTTACTTGAAATATAGCAACAGTCTCCTAACTTTTTCCCCTCTTTCTGTCCTTTCTCCTGCATACTCTGTTCTCAACACAGCATTGCCTATTGTCAGCACTGTGATCCTGTTCAAATGTAAGTTAAATCACTCCTCTGTTCAGAACTTTACAGCGGTTGCCATCTTGTTCAGTGCCAGTCAGTCTTCTGTGGTGTTCAAGGCTCTCTGGAGTTGCCTCTGTCACTCCATCTTTACCTCTTTCCCTGGCTTACCTCACTCTGGCATGCTGGCCGTGCTGATCTTGAAAAACACCGTGTGTCCCCCTGGTGTAGACTTTATACTTGTTTTTCTTCTTGGGATGCTTTTTCCCCAAATAACCATAATGACTTGCTCCTCCTTCTTGAAGTGTAAGCTCAATATCTTTTTCTTCCTTGGTCCTTCATAGACTCCGTGTTTAAAATGCAGCCTTTCCCACGTGTCCCTTCTGTATTTTTAGTTTTCTCCCTAACACTTTTTACCTTGAAATGTGACAAATCATGTTTCTTAATTATTTTATGTTAAATCTTTGTTTTCCCACTAGAATCCAAGCTATCTGAGGGTGGGGAGTTTCCTGCTGTATTTTTTTTTTTAGTTATACATGGACACAATATATTTATTTTGTTTATTTATTTTTATGTGGTGCTGAGGATCGAACCCAGTGCCTCACATGTGCAAGGCAAGTGCTATGCCACTGAGCCACRACCCCAGCCCTTCTGCTGTATTTTAACACTTGAAATAGTGTTTATTTCACAGTAGCATTCAATATATATTTGATGAAAATTCCACATTATAGGTCTCTTTGTGGTTTTTATTGTTGTTGTTCATTTGAACCCAGGGCGCTTTTATCTCTGAGATATATCCCCATCCCTTTTTGGTTTTTATTTTGAGATACTGTCTTACTAAGTTRCTGAGACTTTCCTTGAGCTTGCTTTCCTCCTGCCTCAGCCTCCTGAATCCCTGGGATTACATGAGTGTGCTATGGCATCTGACTGTATTTTTCTCTTTATCCTTAGCAAGCATTATACTACTGAGTCACTTACCCAGTCTTTTCTCTCTCTCTTTCTTTCTTTCTTTCTTTTTTTWAATGAACTTTCACATTTTTTAGGTTAATACACACAAGTACTTAAATAGAATAAATGTTCATAGAATAGTTCTCTGCTTACCCCTAATGTATATCATTCTCCAAAAAAATAGTGAAGCATGAACTCTGTAGTGTTAGACCTARGTTTGGATCTAAAACTGGCTATGTGCAAGCTACTCTGGTCCTCAGTTTTCTTATTTGTAAAATGGATGTAATGTTGTCTTTCTTAATTCTAGTTCCAACTAAATTCAACACTATGGGCAAAGGATTTAAGACCATTAATGCTAGCCTTGTGATTGCTTGTTGTTGCTTTTTACTTGGGTGGCGGACAAATTCACTTCATCATGAAGCAGTGCATTCAAAAGTTGTTTTTTGTTTTGTTTATTATTATTATTTTTTAAACTGGAGATTGAACTCAGGGGCGCTTAACCACTGAGCTACATCTCTAGCCCTTTTATATTTTTTTATTTTGAGACAACAGGGTCTTGCTGTTGCTTAGGACCTTGCTGAGTTGCTTAGGGCCTTGCTGAGTTACTAAGGCAGCCTTAAACTTGCAATCCTTCTATGCTAGCCTCCCAAGTTGCTGAAATTATAGACATGTGCCACTGTGCCTGGCTTTGTTTTTTGATTTTTTTTAAGAAAATTTATACTTGCACTTTATTGTTTTTCCACAGTCTTTATTTCTGCATTATAATTATAYATAATGATGGGATTTGTTGTTACACAATATGACAATATAGTTTGGCTAATATGTTCTCTTTTTTAAATGAAAAATAGAAATATACCACTCCTACAATTCTTGTTGGAGCATCATAGATGTGAGTTAATTCTTCTTCCATTTATTTGAGAAATAATTATTCAGTACCTACCTTGTACCAGGCAATTTGCAAGACAAGTAAATACTGGGACAAACATGAAAAACAGTCTTTGTCCTCATGGAACTTGTAGTTTAGCGGAGAAAACAGACCTCTCAGTATCATAGTTATAAAAAAATAGTTCATAAGAGAAGTACAGATTACTGTGAGTAGATAAAACAACAACCTTATAATGGTAATAGAAGTAGTAGCTGACATTTATATAGCCCTTGTTATGTGCAAGATCTTTCTATGTTAATCCATAACAACTCTGTGGATGATACTGTTATTATCCCACTTTCCTCTTGAGGAAGCTGAGGCCCTGGCTGAATCACTTTCCATRGTCACATTGCTAATAAATGGAATGGTGTGATGAGTCCTGTGCCTTAGAAGCTCAGAGCCTGCTGGGTGGACTTTCCTTTCCACATTTGAAGACCTGGCTCACCGCTCAAATCTGACCCCTGCTCCTCACTCTTCCTCACATGGTTTGGTTCCCAGATGTTGGTGCGCATCATTGTTGGGACTACATATAAAACTCTGGAGTTGTATGTATTGTGTTTAATATATTCATTTCCCTCCAAGGTTCAAGCACTGTCTTCCTGTTGGCCCTGACAATSATAGCCAGCATTCAGGCTCTGACGCCCACCCACTACCTCACCAAGCATGACGTGGAGAGACTGAAAGCCTCGCTGGACCGCCCCTTCACAAGTTTAGAATCTGCCTTCTACTCTATCGTGGGACTCAGCAGCCTTGGGGCCCAGGTGCCAGATGTAAAGGTATGAATTTTGCCTTGGTGTCCTGAGTGATTCAGAGAACCTTCATCTCCTCGCTGGGTTCCTTTTGGGTACTTCAAAACAAACTCTTGGGGCTGGGGTTGTGGCTCAGCGGTAGAGCGCTTGCCTCGCACCTGTGAGACCCTGGGTTCGATCCTCAGCACCACACAAAAATAAATAAGTAAACAAAGGTATTATGTCCAACTACAACTAAAAAATAAATATTAAAAAAAAAAAAACTCATTTGAGGGCAACCAAGGTCAGTCCAATATAAGAAATACTTATTTCAATCTAACAGATTTTCTTTTTTAAAAAATATTTATTTATTTATTTATTTTGTTGTAGTTGGGCACAATACCTTTGTTTTTATTTATTTTTTATGTGGTGCTGAGGATCAAACCCAGGGCCTCGCACGCGCTAGGTGAGCGCTCTACCACTGAGCCACAACCCAAGCCCCTAACAGATTTTCTTTTTGAGTGCTTAATGTATATTTAGGAGCATGCTAGGTGTTCTTAGTGAAATAGAAAGAACAAGTTTTCGATCCTCCAGAAACCTATACTGTAGCCCTCTGAGTGAGACCGTTCAGTACCACAGGTACTTGTAAAGTGCCTAGGTGTGTGGATAATCAGTGATTAAAGAATTCAAGGTGGAGGCACTCCCACTTGTTAAGCTCGACAGTCACTGTGTCAGGTCACTTTGGTATACTTTGTGGACTTTTGATGAGGAGAATGCATCATTATTTAAACCTTTTCTAGATTCAGGAACAGTGGTGAGGGAATTTATATTTTATTCATTGCAACAGAATGGACAGCTAGGATAAGAAATTTTCTTGTGTACCTTTTTTTGGGGGGAGGGTAGTTACCAGGGATTGAACTCAGAGGCACTCCTCTACTGAGCCACATACCCAGCCCTATTTTGTATTTTATTTAGAGACAGAGTCTCACTGAGTTGCTTAGTGCCTTGCTGTTGCTGAGGTTGGCTTTGAACTCATGATCCTCTTGTCTCAGCCTCCAGAGCCACTGGGATTACAGGCATGAGCCACTTGTACCTGGCTCATATATACCTTTGTTTTCAATGACTATACAACAAATTTCTGTAAACTTAGGGAGTTAAATCACCATTCATTTATAAGCTGATAATTTGCAGGTCAGAAGTTATCCAGGCAGTTTTCCTRGACTTGCTTTTTAGTGTCTCCTAAAGTCAAGGTGAAGGTATTGACCAGGCTGAGCTCTTACTGGAAGTTCTGGTGAAGAATCTGTTTCTAAGCTCATTCAGGTTGACAGAATCCAGTCCCTTATGGTTTTAAGTCTGAGGTCCTTACTTTCTTACTGGCTCAAGCCAATGGTTGCTCTCTGCTCGTCAAAGCTACCCAAATTTCTTCTCATGGGGCCAGCAATAGTGTGTCTCTCTTGCCTCCATTTCTACCATCAGCCAGAGAAAACTGCTGTTAAAGGGCTCATCTGCTTAGGTCAGGCCCACTTGCATAATCTCTGAATTCTAAGGTCAACTGACTTGTGGTTTTTAAATACACCTGCAAAAGTCCCTTCATAGTAGTTTCTAGATTTGTGTTTAAGTGAATAATTAGTGAATGGAAATCTTAGGGGTGGGTGAGCAACTTTTAGACTTCTGCCTTCCATATCTTATATTGGCATTGAAATGATTTTAAAACTTAGTGACAAAATTTGTTTTTTGTTTATACTCTATGGCCATCCTGGGTCACTTGAGGCTTCCCTTTATATTTCTTCAGTCTGGGATTTAGCTGATGGAGTAGTCTATCTGGAACATGTGCAGAAARCAAATGGAGTATATGGTTCTTAAAACTTCTGCTCAGGCTGAGTATAGTGGCACACATCTGTAATCTTAGCATCTTGGGAGGCTGAGGCAGGAGTATTGCAAGTTCAAGGCCAGTGTCAGCAACTTAGTGAGACCCTGTTTCAAATAAAATAAAATAAAAAGGGCTGGGGATGTGGCTCAGTAGTAAAGCCCCTCAGTTCAATCTCTGGTCAAAAACAAAAGAAAAGAAAAACAACAACAAAACAAAACTTCTTCGTAGAAAAGACACATTATATGTTACTTCTTTTCATTTTTCTCATTTTGTTGTCTAATGCCAGTCACATAGTCCTGCGTGGATTCAATAAGTCAGGGAGGTAAAGAGACAGTGCATTTTGGTGAGTAGCTCATCCAACTAGCTCCTGGATCCTTTTGTCTCAGTGCTGTCCTACGAGCGAGCCTCTTTGGCTCTAGTCTAACAGTTCCTTTTCCTAGAAGAGTGGTAAGCACCCCAACACACTGGATGGGCAGTGTAGCCCATGTTAGTCTGAATTCATTCCTTGAGCAGTTGTTAACTGAGTGCTTGTGTTAGGCCCTGAGCATTTAGTGGTGAATCAATCATAATCACTATACTCAGGGAACTTATGGTAAGCTGGAAGTTAGAAAAGAGTAGTGCTGAGCCAGGTGCAGTAGTACACACCTGTAGTCCTAGAGACTTGAGAGGCTGAAATGGAAAGATTGCAAGTTTAAGACCAGACTCAGCAACTTAGCAAGACTTTGTCTTAAAAAAAAAAAAAGGCTGGGGATGTATCTCATCAGTAAACTGCAATCCCCAGTACCAGCCTCTGTCCCCGGCAAAAAAATAAATAAATAAAAGGCCTGTGATTCGGATGTGTTTTCCTTAAAGGTCGTGTGTTAAAGGCTCGGTCCTTATCCCATGGTGCTGTTGAGAGGTAGTGGGAACTATGAGAGGTGGGGCCTACTGGGAGGTTGTTAGTCCATTAGGGGTATGCCCTTGAAGAGGATTGTGGGACCCTGGTCCCTTTGCCTCTTTGGTCCTTTCCTTCTCTTGCTCCCTGGCCATACACATAGTGCCATTGCTCAAAGCAATGGGGCCAACCATTCAGAGACTGAAACCTCTAAAACCATAAGCTAATATAAACCTTTTCTTTTGGTTAGTTGATTATGTCAGCTATTTTGCTACAGTAACAGAAAACTAATACRAAAAGTAACTCCTTTATTTCAGCCTTTTATTATGGAAGTTTTCAAACATTCACAAAATTGCCATCTGCTAGCTTGATGATTACAATTACTTGTTTTCTCCTTTATTTTTGCTGGAATATTTTATTTATTTTTAAGATAGGGTCTTACATGCCTGTGATCCCAGCTACTTGGGATACTAAGGCAGGAGAATCACCTTGCGGTGTTTGAGGCCAGTCTGGCACTAGGCCAGCAACTGGACTATTTTAAAGCAGATATTAGACAAATCGTTTTACTTATATCTCTTCATGGGAACTTTTGTTTTAACAATAATAGCAGTGTTTTTATTTTGTCCATCCATTTAAAAAATATATTTTTTAGYTGTAGATGGAGATAGTAACTTTATTTTATTTATTTACTTTTATGTAGTGCTGAGGATTGAACCCAGTGCTTCACATGTGCTAGGCAGGTGCTCCACCACTGAGCCACAACCCCAGCCCCTCTATCCATTATTAATAGTAGTTTTTTTATGTCATTTAATTCTCAGTCTATGTTCATTTATCTCTAATTATCCCAAAATTGTCTTGAAGAGGTAGTTGGTTTAAGTCCGCATCTGAAYAAGGTCCACACATTGCGTTTTGTTGATGTCTCCTAAGTCTCTTTTTACCTGTAATAGTTCCTGTTCCCTCTATCCCCTCATACCACTTCTTTCTCTTTTTTTATGATACTAGTGATTGAACCCGGGGCCTCACCCATGCTAGGCTAGCATACCTACCACTGAGCTGTGTCCCCAGTTCTTTTTAAATTGCTCAGGCTGGTATCAAACTTTCAATCCTCCTGCCTCAGCCTCCCAAGTAGATAGAATTATAAACATAAGCCACCTCACCTGCCGCCCCGTTCCATTTGTGAGAAAAGCTGGGTCACTTGTCTTGGAGAATTTTCCACATTCTGCCTTTGCATCATCATGTTTTTGAACATATTGTTCTATTCCTTGTACTCCTTTACCCTGATAGTTACCTCTTAAGGCTTAGTTATATTCAGAGTCAGTTTTCTTGGCAAAAATATTTCAGAGGTGGTTCTGTGTATTTCTGTCAAGAGATGCATGTCTGATTGTTTAACTCTTAGTGATAAAGTTGGATCAGTGGATCAAGATGTCCAACTAATCTGTGTGCATACATATACAGTGTATGGTAGGGACTGTCTTTTATAAAAATCCAGCCTGGTAGTTTCTGCCTTTTAGTTGGGGGGTTTATTCCACTTATGTTTAATAAAATTACACTGTTTGGTTAAAATCTACTGTCTCAAAGTTTTCTATTTATCTTTTTTTTTTCCCCTTCTTACCTCTCTTCTTTTAGATTAGGTATTTTTTAGTATTACATTTTTTATCTTCTATTGGTGTTTAGCTTTATTATAATATGCATCTTAATTTATCACAGTGTAATTTGAGTTAACTTTCTTTCAAGGATCAAAGCTTTATGCTGTCGTCCAGTGTCTTGACTTCATATATTGTGTCTTATTTTATAGTTACTTATGGTAGGAGGGGTAAATTCAATTTCTTTAATTCTGTTATGGCCAGAACTCTGGTAGTCCCTGTTGATCTTTTCCAGATCTACTTCAGTTGTGTTTTTTTTTTAATAGTGTTTTTAGTTATAGATGAACACAATGTCTTTATTTTGTTTAATTATTTTTATGTGGTGCTGAGGATTGAACCCAGTGCCTAACATGTGTGAGGCAAGTGCTCTGCCACTGAGCCACAACCCAGTCCCAGTTGTATTCTTCTTAATGCTCAAAATGTCCCATCTTGGGCTGGGAATGTGGCTCAAGCAGTAACGTGCTCTCCTGGCATGCACGGGGTGCTGGGTTCGATCCTAAACACCACAAAAAAAATAAAATAAAGATGTTGTGTCCACCGAAAACTGAAAAATAAATATTAAAAAAAAGTCCCATCTTCACCAATAGATCAACACATCGTGTGTGTGTGTGTGTGCGCGTGTGTGCACGCGTGTGCATGTGTGTGTGTTTGAGAGAGTGTG